CATTCATGTTGCAAATGACAGGATTCCTCCTTTTTAAAGGCTGACTAGGCTGGGTGTGGTAGCTCATTCCTATAATCCTAGCACTTTGGGAGGCTGAAGCAGGAGGATCACTTGAGTCTGGGAGTTCAAGACCAGGCTGAGCAATATGGTGAAATCCTGTCTCTATAAAAAAATGCAAAAATTAACCAGGTGTGGTGGCATGTGCCTGTGGTCCCAGCTACTCAGAAAGCTGAGGTGGGAGGATCACTTGAGCCTGGGATGACAAGATCACACCATTGCACTCCAGCCTGGGCAACAGAGCAAGACCCTGTCTCAAAAAATTAAAAAAAAGGCTAACCAGTATTCCATTGTGTATATATGCCACATTTTCTTATCAACAGAAAGACAGATACCGTATTATTTCACTTTTATGTGGAATCTGGTCAAATTCATAGAAGTAGAGAATAGAATGGTGGTTACCAGAGGCTGGCAGTGGGTTAAGGAAGGAAATAGGCAGTTGTTAATTAAAGGGTACAAAGTTTCAGTTGGGAGGAATAAGATTTTAGAATCTACTGCACAGGGGAGTGACTATAGTCAATAATAATGTATTATATATGTCAAAATAGCAAGAGTAAATTTCAAATGTCTCACAAAAAAAAGCTAGTACATTACATGATAGATATGCTTATCTACTTGATTTAATCATTCCATATTGTATACATATATCAAAACACCACATTGTACCCTTCAAATGTATAATTTAAAAGTTTTCAAACATTATTTTCCCTTAGGGATTAGGTATGGAAGTTTTTGTTTAATGTGTATCTTGGCTTATGTTAAATCTCACACCTAATTTATTGTTTTGCAGATCAGATTTAATTTCAGTGTAAAGGTAAATGGAATCCTCTCCACAGAGTTCTTTGGGTAAGTTCTTAAGTCTATGGCTTAAGATGATGCTATGGCTCTGCAATTTTTCTCAGATATTATTGTCCTATTTCCAAAAGCTTCCTAGTTTGATGCCTTGACCTAAAGCTACCTTGAAACTAATTTTCTGATACCTCCATATTTTCTTATTCTAGTAGATTCATCCCTGTCCCTAGAGGGGGTAAACTTAGATGTTGCCATTTTCCCCTTGGTTAATGAAGTTACTGAATTCTAGTACTCTCTGGGGTGGTAGTAGTCATGGGCCAAAATTTGTGTCAAACAGAGACTGATTTTAGAATCTTTGAGAGATGGCTTTGCTTTGCTTTGCTTTGCAGGGTAGAGAATGAACCCACTTTGAACCTTTGGAATGGAATTGCTCTTGTGGTAGACTCTCAGCATTATGCGAGGTGAAGGCGTAAAGCATTGTTGTCCCTCTGCATGTTTTACTCTCCTCTCATGAGTATGAATGTGGGTAGAAATTGGAAATTGTCTCACTCGTTGTTTTTAAGTGCCAGGTGTCAACTTCTCTATAAGAAAAGTGCAGCTGGGTGTGGTGGCTTATGCCTGTAATCCCAGCACTTTGGGAGGCCGAGGTGGGTGGATCATCTGAGGTCGGGAGTTCGAGACCAGCCTGGCCAACATGGACAAACCCCATCTCTACTAAAAATACAAAAAATTAGCCAGGTATTGTGGCGGTCGACTGTAATCCCAGCTACTCAGGAGGCTGAGGCAGGAGAATCATTTGAACCAGGGAGTGGGAGGTTGCAGTGAGCTGAGATCGTGCCACTACACTCCAGCCTGGGTGACAGAGTGGGTCTCTGTCTCAAAAAAAAAAAAAAAAAAAAAAAAAGAAGAAAAAGAAAAGCAGAATTAAACTTTGTTTATGTTGAAAACTGCTATTTTTTTTTTCTTTTAAAGATGGGGTTTCAACATGATGGCCAGGCTGGTCTTGAACTCCTGACCTCAGGTGATCCACCAATCTTGGCCTCCCAAAGTGCTAGGATTACAGGCTTGAGCCACCACGCCCGGCCCCAAAACTGCTATTTTAATTTATTTGTATACTTGAAACTATTCTAATTGACCTGAAGACAAGTGCTACCTTCTCTTCAGGCCTTATTTTCTTCTGTAAATGAAATGAAACAAACCCTGCTAGTTCCAATCTCATTTAGGCGTGAGAAGAGAAGACTATGAATTTAAAACTTTACTTAAATTCTTGGCTAGAGAGTATAAATACCAAGGAATTCATTGTACATTATTTTTTGTGTATCAGCATTTTGCATAGGTTTGGAAATCACCTCTCTGCCCATCTCTATCTTCTTCAGATTCCAAGAAGATAAATCAGGCTGGGTGCAGTGGCTCACACCTGTAATCCCAGCACTTTGGGAGGCTGAGGCAGATGGATCACTTGAAGTTAAGAGTTTGAGACCAGCCTGGCCAACATGACAAACCCTGTCTCTGCTAAAAATACAAAAATTAGCTGGGCGTGGCAGCACATGCCTTCCCAGCTACTTGGGAGGCCATGGCATGAGAATGACTTGAACCCAATAGGCAGAGGTTGTAGTGAGCCTAGACCACACCACTGCATTCCAGCGACAGAGCGAAACTCCATCTCAAAAAAAAAAAATAATAATAAATGTAAAAAATCCACGGAGGGGGTGGTAAACAATATGGAACACACAAAGCCCTTCTGTCTTGCCTTCCTGTGCCATTTAACTATCACAGAATCCAAAGTGAAACTGAATTGTAACAAGAAAAGAACTAACATGTGCTTAAGTCCAATTAATTAATTCTTTTTTTTGTTTTTTGAGACAGGGTCTCTGTTCAATCCAGATGCCATCATAGCTCACTGCAGCCTCGAACTCCTGGGCTCAAGTCATTTTCCCATCTCATCCTCCCTAGTAGCTAGTAGCTAGGACCACAGGAATATGCTACCATACTGTGCTAATTAAAAAAAAAATTTATGGCTGGGTGTGGTGGCGCATGCCTGTAATCCCAGCACTTTGGGAGGCCAGGGCAGATGGATCACCTGAGATCAGGAGTTCAAGACCAGCCTGGCCAACATGGTGAAACCCCACCTCTACTAAAAATACAAAATTAGCTGGTCATGGTGGCAGGTGCCGGTAATCCCAGCTACTCGAGAGGCTGAGGCAGGAGAATCGCTTGAACCTGGGAGGCGGAGGTTGCAGTGAGCCGAGATTGTGCCATTGCACTCCAGCCTGGGTGACAGAGCAAGACTCTGTCTCAAAAAAAAAAAAAAAAAAAATTTTTTTTTTTTTTTTTTTGAAGAGATGAGGGTGTTGCCTAGGCTGGTCTCAAACTGCTGGGCTCAAGCAATCCTCCTGCCTTGGCCTCCCAAAGTGCTGAGATTACAGGCATGAGCCACTGTGTCCAGCCCTCATTTAGTCTTTATTCATTAGTTTCTGCCTCTATTTATATGCTCAGAGGTAACACTAGTAGTCATAGGCTCTTAGGGGTTAAAGAGACTGCCTTTGGTTTTTAGTCTGTTTTCTTATTCTCACCAAAATTACACCTCAGATGAGAATATTTTTGTCATTTAATATATAGGTAATAATTTCCCTACTCCATATCTTTCTTTAGTGATCCTCTAATATTATATAGTCCTTACAGGTAGTCAGCTCATCATAATTTTACTGATACAAGTTTAAGCCTTTGAGCCAATGTTTGTAGATGTGTTTCCTTGGATGACCTGATTAGAAAGGAAAAGTTCATTAATATTTCCTCTTAATAAATTCATTCATTCTTAATCAGCTTTCAGGTTGACTATTTTCTCTCTGTTTAGAAAGAGCTACTGGAAAGTAGACAGACACAAAATTTTACTAGATTCTTTCTAGGAGAGAAAGATGGCCTGATTTTTTCTAATTGTTCTCATCAAACAGCAACCTCAGACCTCTTCAGGGGAAGGTGCAGCATGTGTGAGAGCAGACTTCAAAGTATCATGGGGCCAGCTTTAGGCCGTTTGTGATTCATGGCCCCTCTCACACAATGCTGCCCTTTATTTATTTATTTATTTATTTGTTAATCAATGAGAGCTTGTTATGTTGCTCAGGTTGGCCTTGAACTCATAGCCTCGCCTCCTCAAGCGCCAGGACAACTGGCCGGAGCCACCGCAGCCCCCTATGCTGCCCTTTAAATGAATTTGGAAACTTGCTCAGAACCAAAGATTAATTTTAGTGGAGGAAATATACTTGAGAATAAGAAACAGGGCATGATGTCTCATACCTGCAGTCCCAGCACTTTGGGAGGCCAAGGCAGAAAGATTGCCAGAAGTCCAAGATCAGGTTAGTAAACATAGTGAGAACCCCTTATCTAATAAAATAAAATAATACTATTTTTTGAGAAAGTCTTGCTCTGTCACCCAGGCTGGAGTGCAGTGGCGCAATATCAGCTCGCTGAAACCTCTGCTTCTCAGGTTCAAGTGATTCTCCTGCCTCACCTTCCTGAGTAGCTGGGACTACAGGTGTGCACCATTACCCCCAGCTATTGTATCTTTAATAGAGATGGAGTTTCACCATGTTGGCCAGGTTGGTCTCCAACTCCTGACCTCAAGTGATAGCCTGCCTCGGCCTCCTGAAGTGCTGGGATTACAGGTGTGAGCCACCATGCCTGGTCTAAAATGTTTTTTTTTTTTTAAAGAGAAACTAAGAAGCATCCATTAGTGGCAGCAAAAGCAGGAGCCATGATACCATCCCTGAAATGCTAGTTTTTCTGTTACTTCCATTGCTGTGGTTTCCTGAGTGAGACACAAGTTATTTATTCCAACAAAACTGATATGGCAGGTTATATGGTCACACATATGTTAGAAATTATAAAAATTTTGAATGCTCTTTTAAATAATTTCTTAAGAGGGTAAAATATTAAATTTGACTTGTCTGTTTTCTGACAGTAGACCAAAATTTGATACGATTGAATCATACTGCAGCAGAATTCACCCTGTGCTAGGACATCCAGTAATGCTTTTCATCCCTGATGACGTGACCGGCATGGACTTGTTGGGAGAACTGATACTGACTCCAGCAGTTGCATTGTGCCCCAGCCCAAAGGTTTTTTCCAATCAGCTGGACAGCATTTCTTCAGTTTCCATATCCTTTTGATGAAAAATTCCACCCAATTATCTTTGAAATGGGTTTTTATATCCCAGTTTTAGAAAAGCGTTTAGTATGTGTATTCTGCATCTACAAATATGTATGATTTGTATAAAAACATATAATCTAATATGAAAGCCAAGCTTGAACATTTTGCCAGGGAACTGAAAACTATAAAATGTGACACATGTCATACATTTTTCTTATAATTCAATATAACTGAAGCATGAAATGAATGGCACATGAGGGAGATATAAGGCTTGAAAAGTAGTCTGGAGTTGAATATGGTAGATCTTGAGTGCCATACTACGGATTGTGAAGTTTATTCTCTGTATAGTAAGAAACCATTGAATGTTTTGGGAGGAGTCTTTAGCAGCATTATATAGTATGGAAGGGAGACCAGTTAGTAATACTAAGTAAATAAGTAAGTGAACTGGGTTAAAAAATGAGTGCCCGATGGATGGGTGCAGTGGCTCACACCTGCAATCCCAGCACTTCGGGAGGCCGAAGTGGAAGGATCACTTGAGGTCAGGGGTTCGAGACCAGCCTGGCAAATATGGTGAAACACTGTCTCTACTAAAAATACAAAAATGAGCTGGGCGTAGTGGTGGGCACCTGTAGTCCCATCTACTTGGGAGGCTGAGGCAGGAGAATCACTTGAACCTGGAGGTGGAGAGTGCAGTGAGCCAAGAACATGACACTGCATTCCAGCCTGGGCAACAGAGCAAGACTCTGTCTCAAAAAAAAAAGGAAAAAAGAAAGAAAAGAAAAAAAAATAATAATGAGTGCTTGAATCTAAAGTGTGGTCGACATGGAAAGGCCAGAGTTATCACCTGAAGTAATGAACAAAATGTAACCAGTTAATTCTCAAGGTAGGGAGAGATTAGGGACAGGGAACATCTAAGGTTCGTGTCAGATTTCTAGGTCTAGAATAGGCAAATACAGAGGACAGAATGTAAATGGAGGGGCTCTTTTTTTTTTTTTTTTTGACAGAGTCTAGGTCTATTGCCCAGGTGGAGTACAGTGACATGATCTTGGCTCACTGCAACCTCTGCTTCCTGGACTCAAACCATCCTTCCATCTCAGCCTCCTGAGAGACCACAGGCGCATGCCACCACGCCCAGCTAATTTTTGTATTTTTGGTAGAGACAGAGTTTCACTGTGTTGCCCAGGCTGGTCTCAAACTCCTGGACTCATGTGATCCACCAGCCTCAGGCTCCCAAAGTGCTGGGATTACAGGCATGAGACATTGTGCTCTCCCTAGAGGGGCTTCTTTTCAGAGTAATGAAAATGTTCTAAAATTGATGGTGGTGGTGATTGCACAACCCTTTAAATATACTAAAACCCATTATATTATACGTTTAAAATGAGTGAATTGGCCGGGCGCGGTGGCTCACACCTGTAATCCCAGCACTTTGGGAAGCCGAGGCAGGTGGATCATGAGGTCAAGAGATCCAGACCATCCTGGTCAACAATGTGAAACCCCGTCTCTACTAAAAATACAAAAAAATTAGCTGGGCATGGTGGTGCGTGCCTGTAGTCCCAGCTACTCAGGCGGCTGAGGCAGGAGAATTGCTTGAACCCAGGAGGCGGAGGTTGCGGTGAACCGAGATCGTGCCATTGCACTCCAGTCTGGGTAACAACAGCGAAACTCCGTCTCAAAAAAAAAAAATGAGTGAATTGTATGCGATGTGAATTACATCTCAATAGAGTTATTAAAAAAGATTTCCATGGATACTGACAGAATAACGATACTGTCAGCAAGATACAAAACATTAATAGCAGATTTGGGGGATAAAGAAGATGAGTTTGACATTAAACATGTTGAGTTTATGGTGCTTCAAGACATCCTTCAAACATAGTAAGCAGCTATATAGAAATTTGGTCTGGAACTTGGAAATGGTCAGATTTAGAGATACAGAATTTTAGAGTCTTAGTTTCTTCCATACGTAAGAGTCATATAGTTCTATGTTTAGAGCATGGCACAGGAGTGTAAATGTTGGATTCATTACTAATTAGCTGTGTGACTACAGGCAACTTACTTAACCAGCCTAAGCCTTTTTTTTTGAGACGGAGTTTTGCTCTTGTTACCCAGGCTGGAATGCAATGGCGCAATCTCGTCTCACTGCAACCTCCGCCTCCTTGGTTCAGGCACTTCTCCTGCCTTAGCCTCCTGAGTAGCTGGGATTACAGGCACACGCCACCATGCCCAGCTAATTTTTTGTATTTTTTAGTAGAGACAGGTTTCACCATGTTGACCAGGATGGTCTCGATCTCTTGACTTCGTGATCCACCCGCCTCGGCCTCCCAAAGTGCTGGGATTACAGGCGTGAGCCACTGTGCCCAGCCTGGCCTAAGCCTTTAATTCCTGTTTGAAAATGAGGATGACACTTATCTCATAGATGTATTTTTCCTTGCAAAAGTTGCTTTTCTGTTCTTTTGGGGTTTGCTTGTGTTTTAAAATTAACTATAATAATCCATGTGAAGCTCCTAACGTAAAGTAGTCAATAAATATTATTAATTGTTATTGTGACATGATTGAAGCTGTAGAAGTAAATGAAGTTAGAGAAGAGTATAAACAATGAGAACAGGCCAGGTGCAGTGGCTCATGCCTGTAATCCCAGCCCTTGGGGAAGCTGAAGCCGGCAGATCACTTGAGGTCAGGAGTTTGAGACTAGTCTGGTTAACATGGCAAAACCTCGTCTCTGCTAAAAATACAAAAATTAGCTGGGTGTGGTGGTGCATGCCTGTAGTCCCAGCTACTTGGGAGGCTGAAGCAGGAGAATTGCTTGAACCTGGGAGACAGAGGTTGCAGTGAACTGGTAACACACCACTGCACTCCAGCCTGAGTGACAGAGTGAGACTCTGTCTCTCTTTTTTTTTTGGTTTGTTTGAGATGGAGTCTCGCTCTTGTTACCCAGGCTGGAGTGCAATGGCGCGATCTCGGCTCACCGCAACCTCCTCCTCCTGGGTTCAGGCAATTCTCCTGCCTCAGCCTTCCAAGTAGCTGGGATCACAGGCATGCGCCACCATGCGCAGCTAATTTTTGTATTTTTAGTAGAGATGGTGTTTCATCTTGTTGACCAGGATGGTCTCGATCTCTTGACCTCGTGATCCACCCGCCTCAGCCTCCCAAAGTGCTGGGATTACAGGTGTCAGCCACTATGCCCAGCCCGAGACTCTGTCTCAAAAACAAAAAAACCCAATGAGAACAGGAGAGGCATGGTATGATAGATGTCAGCTATTTGGTGTTGCATATCAGATATCAAAAGATACCATAGTATCTTTTAGGGAAGAAGAGGGAGCAGGATAGTGATGAAGACTATGCACGGACATTTCCTATTTTAAAATATGCTTTTTCTTTAGATAGCACAGAAAAATATAAAGTAAATAAGTTTCTTCTTCCTCCTCATTCCATCATCTAGAAGGAATAAGACAGACAATATTTTGGTCCTCTTGGGGAAAATTTAACAGATAGATATTAGGTAGTGATAAGTACCGTGGAGAGAAATAAAACAAGGTGATAGAGAATGATGGAGATGTTATTTTAAATATGGTCAGTGAAGACTCTAAGGAGGTAATGTTTTAAAAAAGAGAAAGAACTATGAAAATTCTGGTGAGATTTCACTTTCTTCAAGTGGCAGACTTCATAATTTAGACCAGCCTCTTCACTGAAGGCAAAGGCTGGATGAAATATTAAAACATCATAAAAGCATCAAAGACCTAGTGAAGAGGAGGAGTTTCTGTGCCATGATTTAGGAGAGGTTTGAATTACAGAGAGCTGAGCCTAGTATTGGGGGATACTTTTGCCCTGGAGTAGTTTGCCAATTAGAGCAGGCAGCTGAGAGGCAAAGATATATTAATACTTCCAAATTGGCTGGGCGCAGAAAGCCGAGGCAGGCGGATCATGAGTCAGGAGTTCAAGACCAGCCTGATCAACATGGTAAAAACCCCGTCTCTACTAAAACTACAAAAAAATTAGCTGGACGTGGTGGCGCATGCCTGTAGTCCCAGCTACTCCAGAGGCTGAGGCAGGAGAATTGCTTGAACCAGGGAGGTGGAGGTTGCAGTGAGCCGAGGTGTCGCCATAGCACTCCAGCCTGGCAACATAATGAGACTCGGTCTCAAAATAAATAAATACAATAAAAATTAATCTGTTTAAAAAAATACTTCCAAATTAATGCAGGACAAGAAGGCCAAAGAATCCAGGACCTGATGAGCTTGGGAGTGCTGCTAAAAACACCTCTTGCTTTGGGCAAGAGATAACTAGAAGGCTATATTTTAAGGAGTAAGGTGAACCTGCACTAAATCACTCTTCACATGGTATATGTATATGCTTTTGGGTCATCTAGGCAGGCCAAAAATTCTTAAACTTTGGAATTGGATTAGGATGATTTTATATTTGCTAGTTCTCCTAGATGTCTTGTAGAAGGAAACAAAAATTTCTAGAAGAAAATAACTGCATCCTTTGCTCCCAATTATTTAGCACTTTTCAAATACAGTGTCCCATGGTACATATGCACACAAACATGTACAGTCACAAATAACCAGGTATAAGAGAGGACAAGATAATATAAACAAGAGCTGGCAAAAACAAAGTCACAGAAGCACCCACTGGGACTCCAGATACTGGTGATAACAGATATTAACTTTAAAAAGTTATGCTTAGCTGGGCATGGTGGTTCACCCTGTGATCTCAGCACTTTAGGAGGCTGAGGCAGGAAGATCGCTTGATCCTGCAAGTTCCAGATCAGCTTGGACAACACAATGAGACCCCCATCTCTATACAAGTTAGCTGGGCATAGTGGTGCATGCCTGTGGTCCCAGCTGCTCAGGAGGCTGAAGTGGGAGGATTGCTTGAGCACAGGAGGTCAAGACTTCAGTGAGCCATGATTGCACCACTGCACTTCAGCCTGGGTGACATGAGACCCTGTTTCAAGCAAAATTTAAAAAAATTATGCTTACTATGTTTATGAAAATGAAAACAAAGTTTGAACATATTACTAGGAAACTGAAACTGTAAAATGTGAAATAACTTTTAATAAGAACTTATATTAACTTTTAATAAGTTAATAAATAACTTTTAAACAGAAATTATGGAATTAAGAAATATAATAACCAATGTTGAATGAACTTCAGTACACAGATTTAACAGCGGATTAAGTACAACCTAAGAGAATTTGTAAACTAAAACCTAAAGATAGCAAGAACTGCCGGGCGTGGTGGCTCACGCCTGTAATTCCAGCACTTTGGGAGGCCGAGGCGGGCGGATCATGAGGTCAAGAGATTGAGACCATCCTGTCCAACATAGTGAAACCCCGTCTCTACTAAAATATAAAAATTAGCTAGGCATGGTGGCGCGTGTCTGTGATCCCAGCTACTCGGAGGCTGAGGCAGAAGAATTGCTTGGTCTCGGGAGGCAGAGGTTGCAGTGAGCCGAGATTGCACCACTGCACTCCATCCAGCCTGGTGACAGAGCGAGACTCTGTCTGGGAAAAAAAAAAAAAAAAAAAAGCAAGAACTTAGCAAAAATAAAGCAAAGAGAGACAAGTTAGGGAAAATACCCCAAGAGAGGGGTTAACAGAGGAAAGAGTGAAATGGTCTAATGTATATTTAATTGATGTCCCAAAAGAGAAAAGAGAAAATGGGGCAGAAACAATATTTGAAAAGTTAATGGCTGAAACAACTGAGACAGATTTAAGAACAGAATAATCGAGCAGTATAAATAAAAAAAGATTTCCACACCCATAGAAGATGAAAAACAGAGAAAAATCTTAAAATCAGTTAGGAGGACAAATCATCTTTAAAAGATAAACAATTTAACAGCTGACTCCCATACCAACAGAAGGTGTTAAACTAATAATGTCCTGAAATAAAATAATTACCAACCTAGAATTTTATATCCACTACAAATATCCCTCAACATGAAAGGTAATAAACTTACCTGTATACTATGTTAAAATTATAATCCATGTAACAAGAAGAATTAATTCAAAAGATTTTAAAACATGGTGTTTTGACTATACATTCTTAGCAGGATATACTCTAAGGATGAAATAAAGTCCAAAGACCTCTTAAAATTTATTCAGTGGCTTGATTATTAGTAATAATATTGGTATTTTACATTGGAATTATTGTATGTATGTTTATGATAATTATGTTAACATTGTTAGGAATCAAAATTTTTAGCATCAGATAGAAGATATGTGAGTGTAAATTCAGAAAAACAATTTTTTAAAGGTGTCTTGCTCTGTTGCCCAGGCTAAAGTGCAGTGGTGTGATCACAGCTCACAGCAACCTCAAACTTAGGGGCTTAAGCAATCCTCCTCCCTCAGCCTCTCCTGAGTAGCTGGGACTACAGGCATGCACTATCATGCCTGGCTAATTTTTTTTTTAATTTTTATTTTTTTATAGAGACAGTCTTACCCTCGAATCTCCAAATTTAATGAAAACTATAAACCTGCAGATTCATGATCAATGAACCCTACCTAAGTGTAAGAAATACGAAGAAAATTACACCAAGTCACATCATAAAGTATTTAAAGCTGGTAATAAATTTTTTAAAGCAGCTGGAGGCCGGGCGTGGTGGCTCACGCCTGTAATCCAAGCACTTTGGAGGCCCAGGTGGGTGGATCACCTGTGGTCAGGAGTTCAAGACCAGCTTGACCAACATGGTGAAACCCCGTCTTTAAAAAATAAATAAATAAATTTTTTAAAAAAGAAAAAGCAGCTGAAAATTAAAAAGACATTATGTATAGAGGAACAAAATATGGCAGATTTCTCACTGGAAACAGTGTTAGCTAGATGAAAGTGGGGTAACATCTTTATCAGGTATTGAGAAAAAAATGAAGGCAAAATGAAGAATTTTTCAGACATAGAAAAGGTGGAAGAATTCATCACCAGAAGACTTGTATTATAAGAAATGTTAAAGGAAATATTTTAGGTAGAAAAAAAATGATGCCAGACAGAATTCTGGATCTACCCAAAAAAAGAAGAGCACTGGAAGTGGTGACTATGTGAGTAGATACAAAATACTTATGTCCTTTTAAAAAAACAAAATCTCCTTCTTGAGTATATAAACCAAAAAGTATCTAAGACAGGTCCCAATCAGTTTAGAAGTTTATTTTGCCAAGGTTAAGGATGGCCTGGGAGACAGGTCTGAGCCTTTCTCTAAAAATGATTTTGAGGGCTTCAGTATTTAAAGGGGAAAAAGCTGGAGGGGAAAGAGGAAGGGGATGGTCTCGTTATTGAATATATATGTTACAAGAGAAAAGGAGCAAGTAGGGGAACAGTCAGTTATGTATTCGTCTTGTGCTCAGTAAATTGGCACTTTACACGAGAGAAGGTGAACATAAGAGTAGCTACCTGTGGAGATATTTAACTCTTTATCTGTAGCTATCTGCTTAGGAACAAAAGAAGAGGCAGCTTCCTGCATGGCTCAGCTTTCAGCTAAATTATTCCTTTTGGCATAGTGACTTGGAGTCTTGGATTTTAATTTTCCTTTAACAAGTACTTCACCAGAAAAAAAAACTTTTTTTTTTTTTTTTTTCTTGAGGCAAAGTCTTGCTCTGTTGCCCAGGCTGGAGTGCAGTGGCATAATCACAGCTCACTGGAACCTCCGCCTCCCGGGTTGGAGCAATTCTCCTGCTTCAGCCTCCCGAGTAGCTGGGATTACAGGCACATGTCACCACACCGGCTCATTTTTTTTTTTTTTTTTTTTGAGACAGACAGGTGCCAGGCTGGAGTGCAGTGGCACAATCTCGGCTCACTGCAACCTCCGCTTCCTGGGTTCAAGCAATTCTCCTGCCTCAGCCTCCCTAGTAGCTGGGACTACAGGCACACGCCACCACACCCAGCTAATTTTTGTATTTTTAGTAGAGAAGGGGTTTCACCATTTGGCCAGGCTGGTCTCAAACTCTTGACCTCAGGTGATCTGCCTGCCTCAGCCTCCCCAAGTGCTGGGATTACCAGAGTGAGCACCAGGCCCATCAAAAAAAAAAAAAAAAAAATTAAAAAACAAGTCTTGAAGTCCCTCCCTCAGGATTCCAATTACACATTCTGAATTAAGCCACCTGAAGTTACCGCACAGTTCATTGATGTTTTATTTATTTATATAGAGGCAGAGTCTTGTCTCCCATGCTGGAGTGTAGTGACTTGTTCTTAGCTCACTACACCCTTGAGCTCTTAAGCTCATGTGGCCCTCCCACCTCAGCCTCCTGAGTGGCTAGGACTATACGTATACACTACCACACCTGGTTAATTTTGTGTTTGTGTGTGTGTGAGAGAGAGAGAGAGAGAGAGAGAGATGTCTTACTATCATTTTCTATTTTCTTCATATTCCTTTTTGAGACAGAGTCTCACTCTGTCACCCAGGTTGGAGTGCAGTGGTACAATTTCAGCTTACTGCAACCTTCTCCTCCTGGGTTCAATCAGTTCTCCTGCCTCAACCTCCCGAGTAGCTCAGACTACAGGTGCCTACCACCACGGCTGGCTAATTTTTGTATTTTTAATAGAGACAGGGTTTTGCCATGTTGGCCAGGCTGGTCTTGAACTCCTGATCTCAAGTGATCCACCTGCCTTGGCTTCCCAAAGTGCTAGGATTATAGGCATGAGCTACCGCACCTGGCCTAGATTCTTCATATTTCTTATGCTTAGGGTTCATTGATCATGGATCTGCAAAAATTTAATGTATAAGGTTTATAACATCTGTGGAAGTAAAATATGTGACAATAGCACAAAGGCCAAGAAGAGAGAAGAAGAAGTATATTGTTTGATTCTTAGACTATACATGAATCGTTATAATATCATTTGAAGGGAGACTATGATAAGTTAAAGTTGTATACTAATAAAGCCTGGCAATTCCTAGGTTAATACAACAGTTAAAACTGATTAACAAGGAGATAAAATGGAATTATAAAATTTCCTGGCAGGTATGGTGGCTTTCACCTGTAGTCCCAGCTACCCTGGAGGCTGATACAGAGAGAGGATTGCTTGAGCCCAGGAATTTGAGGCTGCAGTGAGCTATGATCACATCACTGCACTCCAGTCTGAGCAACAGAGTGAGACCCTGTATCTTTTTAAAAAAGGTGGTAGGTTGGCTGGGCGTAGTGGCTCATGCCTGTAATCCCAGCACTTTGGGAAGTCAAGGCAGGCAGATCACCTGAGGTTGGGAATTTGAGACTAGCCTGACCAACATGGAGAAACCCTGTCTCTACTAAAAATACAAACTTAGCCAGGTGTGGTGTCACATGCCTGTAATCCCAGCTACTCAGGAGGCTGAGGCAGGAGAATCACTTGAACCTGGGAGGCGGAGGTTGTGGTGAGCCAAAATCGCACCATTGCACTCTAGCCTGGGCAACAAGAGCAAAACGCTGTCTCAAAAAAAAAAAAAGGGGTGGGGGGCAGGGGTAGAGAGAGAAAACACTTTTTAAAACGTAAAAAACAATTTCTAATTCAAAAATAGAAAAGAGGAAAAAGGAAACAAACAATACAAGCAATACATGGAAAAGAGATAAGATGATGGATTCAAACCCAACTATAGCTATATTCATATTACATGTAAATGATTTAAACAACTGCATATAAGACAACCGCACATCTTGGCTCTTCAAACACTCCCCTCTTATTCTGAGTTTGCATCTTAAAAATCTTCTTACCCTAAACAGTGAGTGAGCCTTAGTTCATGTGTTAATGCCTTCTGAGATTTGTGAGGGAGACTTCATTTATGGGTATAAAGCCCCCTTTTTTCTGTGATGACTTTTCATAATGCCCCAGTGCCCACTGGGTAAGAATTTTAATCTTCATTCACACATAATACCATGTCTTTATCCCATAAGAAAGAGGATGAAAACAAAGAAAGATAAAGGGAAGTCCACATTCTGGTCTCTTCGGCCTTGGTTCAGGAGACAAGAAAGGTTAAGCAGTGGTTCTTAATGGGGTAATTTTGAATGGGAAGTTCAGAGATAGAAACCATTTCAGGGGCCTGCCTGCCTTTGTTTAAGAGAATAGGTTTGGAGACAGGTTTCCTTCTCAATCTGAGTATACTCAAATACTTCCTAGAAAATATTCTCTTGTATTTACTTCTAGCATGTATCACATTGTATTACAGTTTGCTGGCTTTCATGTCTGTCTCCCGTACTGTAAATATGATAAACTTGAGGATAGGTATTACCCGGATATTCATCTTGGTACCCCCAGAACTTAGAACTTAAAACAATGTTAACCTGTGTTGCCACTCAAATCTATGATCATGTAAACCAGATGAATAAATAAACTGTCCCAATGTTATATCTGTAGCTCACACTTATTAAACCCAGAATAAATTTCCAGGGATCCTAGTGGATCTGTCTCTGGTGCCTCATACCTGTCTTCAGTGTGGAAAAGGCGTAATATGTAACTGCATAGAGAACATTTATTTATGGGAGTGTAAACCAGGTCAGTGTTCTGTTTGTTTTACACAAGTGAATACATAGTCACAAGATACTAAAATTTGGCAGTTTTCTTTAGCAACTATACATATTTCTATATGGACCTTTGGGTCTGCCTCTGATATTGTCAACTTGGGAGCAGCCAGTGACTACTTTCTTCAAAGATACATCTTCTTTAATTGACTGGAAAAAATACCATTTGTGTATGGTACCCAATTTGGATCTCAATTTGGATAGAGGTATATCCTCCCTCTCTCTGCACAGGAATGAAGAAAATTGAAGAATATTAGAGAAATGAAAGGAAATATGAATAGAAAGCATATATAATTTTTTATTTTATTTTTTGAGATGGAGTCTCACTTTCTCGCCAGGCTGGAGTGCAGTGGCACGATCTCGGCTCACTGCAACCTCCGACTCCCTGGTTCGAGCAATTCTCCTGTCAGCCTCCCGAGTAGCTGGGATTATAGGCATGCACCACCATGCCCAGCTAATTTTTGTATTTTTAGTAGAGATGGGGTTTCACCTAATTTAGCCAGGATAGTTTCGGTCTCCTGACCTCGTGATCCCCCCACCTCAGCCTCCCAAAGTGCTGGGATTACAGGCATGAGCCAGCATGCCTGGTGAAAGTATATATAAAAATATGATCCAGAGAGGCCGGGCGCAGTGGCTCATGCCTGTAATCTTAGCACTTTGGGAGGCCGAGGCAGGCAGATCATGAGGTCAGGAGATCAAAACTATCCTGGCTAACACAGTGAAACCCTGTCTCTACTAAAAATACAAAAATTAGCTGGGTGTGGTGGTGCATGCCTATAATCCCAGCTACTCGGGAGGCTGAGACAGGAGAATTGCTTGAACCCAGGAGGCAGAGATTGCAGTGAGCTGAGATGGTGCCACTGCACTCCAGCCTGGGCAACAGAGTGAGACTCCATCTGAAAAAAATAAAATTAAAAAAAAAAAATGACCCAGAGATCTGATGGCCTAGTTTGGGGTTTGGGGGTCAGGGTCTGGCCAAGTGTGAGAGACCACTTGAAGTGAGGCAAACAGGTGTCAAATCAGGCAAAGCTCTTTCAGAGCTTGTTCTGGCATTGCATGTTTTTGTTGTTATGGTTGTTGTTGTTTTATGGAGTCTTGCTCTGTTGCCTATGCTTTAGTGCAGTGGTGCAATCTCAGCTGGCTGCAACCTCCTCCTCCTGGTTTCAAGTGATCTTCCAATCTCAGCCTTCCTAGTAGCTGGGATTACAGGTGCCCGCCACCATGCCTGGCTAATTGTTTTTTTTTTGTTTTGTATTTTTAGTAGAGCCGGATTTCTCCATGTTAGGGCCAGGCTGGTCTTGAACTTCTGACCTCAAATGGTTCACCCGCCTTGGCCTCCCAAAGTGCTGGGATTATAGGTGTGAGCCACCACGCCCAGCCTGGCATTGCATGTTGATACTGGTTCTCCTCTTACTTCCTCTGCTGCCTCCTCTATTCCTGGTCTTTCTGTTAGATACTTGTTCAGAGGACTTCTAATGTACCTAATCTGTCAACTCTGGGCCTTTACAAAGGTGAGTAAGGGAGCAATGACACCTCTGAACTACTGTGGAAGAGAAATGCTTCATAATGAACTGAGAAAATCCATATAAAATTCCTTAGAAACAAAACACATACAAATGCAAGACATAATAGTATTAGGCCTAGGAAGCTGCTGTAATATTCATGTAAGCTGTAACCACACCATCTTTGGGTGAATCATGCTAAAAGTTGGGAGGTTAATAACTGAGCTAATAAATAAAACTGGGAAATTGGAACATGCAACCATGGGTTATATCTAGGAGGGCTGCAGTTTTGAGATTGACTGTTCTAACTAGAATCCTTTGAAATTTAGAAGGTAGTCTGGTCGTTTGGCTCCTGAGGAAGATGATCAGTAGGGAAGAGGTACTCTGCGGCTGTGACCAGTATGAGAAGATTGAAGCCTGCTGGGATAGGGCAGTATCGTAGAATAATAGACTCTTCACCTATGAAGGAAGGAAGCCTTGGGATAAGAGTCTTTGTTTTTGAGTGGGTAGTTATTCCAGAAGAGGGTGTCCTTAGACAGGGTCTTTGGAAATGAGTTTTGTGGGAAAAGAATATTTGGTCTTAACAGACAGAATGTCATGCCATCAGGATTTCTAATAGAGACATGACTAGTGAGTTTCTAGGGATCTCTATATCTCTTTTTCTCATTCATTTTTGTTTTCAGGCTTTGCTGATTTAGTTTTTTGCCAATTCATGGTGCCTGAACTTTCTCAGTTAACTTTGGAAATGAATAATGTAGAAAATGTCCCCTCATCTCCCTCCCTGATTACTCTAAAGGACAGAACCAGGATCCACATGGAGGTACTTCTCTATATGGATCTGAAATATAGGACTATCCTGATTTTATTCTGAAGGATCTTAGTGCTAGAAAGTGACATTGGATTACTTGTGGATACAAATATATAGTATTGGGGATAAGAGCACAGATTTTGGAGTCAGTCTAGCAAAATCTAGAACTCACTTCCACCACTTACTAGCACCTTACCCATTGGGCAAGGTATTTAACTTATCTGTGCCTCTTATCTGTAAAAGGACAAACAAGTAGGTCCTATCTGATAATGTTATTGTGAAGTCGAAATGTTGAAATAGTACAAAAGCATTTGATGTAGTACCTGGCCTGTAACACACGTTAGCTGTTATCATTACACTCAGGTGAATCTAACCTCTTACCAGCCATACCTGCCTTAGAAAGTTGTACAAGGAATCAATTAATTTATTGTATAGTGCTTCTCAGTAAATGTAAAGGAGTGCTGTTTGGTTTGCATTTTACATACCTAGTTACTATTTTAATGTTCTTCCTGGGCGTCATTATGATTTGCTTCCATCATGTGGATAGAGAAACAGGTTCAGGAGGGGAAATGAGTGTTTGAATTTAGATCTTCTATTCTCAGATCCTTCTTTGTTCAGAATACAGGTTCTGTAGTCACTTGGCATTTTGAGGGCTTTACTTATCTTAGAAATTCATGTATTATCTTGTCCTCTAGATTTGGTGCTTCCAGATGTGAGTTATCAGGTGGAATCCAGAGAGGGGGATCAGTCTCAGAATATGGATCTTCAAGGACAAACTCTGCTGCTTTTTCTCTTTGTGGATTTCCACAGTGCATTTCCAGTTCAGCAAATGGAAATCTGGGGTAAGTATAAGAATGGGGTTGCCAGCTTGAGTGCCAAATGCTAAGAGAAAGAGAAGATTTGTATAATGCATATATCTAAATTAGATATATTTCTATAGAATAAAGTTCAGTGAAAAACCTTGCTTAATAAGTTAAATAAATATATCCTGTAGAAAAGATTCATATATTGATACATCACTTAAATGATGACATTTCTAGGTCTGGTTGGTCAGAAATCAGCAGACACTGATATTGCTCCCTAGGGATCCGTGGTTCTCAACATTAGCCACATACTCTATTACCTGGAGAGCATCTAAATGCTCACTCTGCAGAGATTCTCATTTCCAGTTGGACTGAGGTGGGGCTCAGGTCTCAGTATGTTTTAAATTTTTTTTTATTTTTAGAGTCGCTGTCATCCAGGCTGGAGTGCAGTTGCATGAGTCTAGCTCACTGCAACATCAAACTCCTGGGCTCAAGTGGTCCTCCTGCTTTAGCCTCCCCAGTAGCTGGACCTACAGATGCATGCCACTACACCTGGATAACTTTTTCAATAATTTTTTGTGGAGATGGAGGTCTTGCTTTGTTGCCCAGGCTGGTCTTGAACTCCTGACTTCAAGTGATCTTCCTGCCTCGGTGTCCCAAAGTGCTTGTCCATATGTTTTTAAAGCTTCTCAGGCCAGGCGCGGTGGCTCACGCCTGTAATCTCAGCACTTTGGAAGTCCAAAGTGGGTGGATCATTTGCAGCCAGAGGTCCAAGACTAGCCTGGCTAACATGGTGAAACCCTGTTTCTATTAAAAATACAAAAATTAGCCAGTGTGGTGGTGGCTGCTTGTAATCCCAGCTATTCGGGAGGCTGAGGCAGGAGTGTCACTCAAACCCAGGAGGCAGAGGTTGCCGTGAGCTGAGATCACACCACTGCACTCCAGCCTGGGCAAGACATTGATACTCTGTCTCAAAAAATAAAATAAAATAAAATAATAAAATTGCTTCTCAGGTGATTCTGATGTACAGCCAGCCTTGGGAACTTTTCATCATCTTACTGCCTTTCTAGGTGGATTTAAAAAAATGCACACCTATTCGTATTCAGGTATGCAATGAGGAACCTTTGGTGTTTATTTATTAGATGGGTGATAACTTGTTATCACTCAGAAAGATTCTCTATGATAAAGATAAAGTAGTGGTTTCATTTTCTGGTCCATGAAACATGCATCAGAATCACCCGGATCATCATCATCATCATCATCATCATCATTATTATGGTAGAAACAAGGTCTTTCTGTGTTGCCCAGGCTGAACTCCTGGGCTCAAGAAATGCTCCCATGTCAGCCTCCCAAAGTGCTGGGATTCCAGGCATGAGCCACTGTGTCTGGTCTCAAGTGATGCTTAAATAGTGAAATTTGAAAATCACTGAGCATGAGCAGCACTTGGCTTCTGCATTTTAATCCATTAAACCCTGGGACATAAATTTAAGTATTTCTCAACCCCCTCCTAATCTTTGAGGAAAGTTACAAGGAGAAGTGGAGATTATACAAGTTTGGGAAAAGGTTCATAAGCCTCCCTTTTAGTGCTTCTGATATGTCTCTGTGTTCTCCTTTCTCTATGGCCCAGTTTGTTTTTGTGGGACTCTATGCTCCAGGCACTCCAGTGCTATTTGGTGTGGCTCTGCTCCCACCTGAGTCATAAGAAAAAAGAGACTGCTTACAACCCCAGACCAAAAGAGATCATGTCGACTGGTGTCAACTATTTATTGAACAAACCATTGTCGGCTGTGGTATTCTTCCTGCTACCTTCCTTCTGAGCCTCTCAGAAGTTAAGATAAGGCTATCTTTTCCTTGCCTCTTCCCAACACATCCTGTATATACTATAGGAGAGAAGCACTGTTTCCTTGGACTCTGGCTTGCAGCTCTTTATTTAAGTAGCTAGTGGTCTTTAATGCACCAGTGTTCTGGTAACTAAGGCCAGGGGAATGGGAAATAGAAGATGCCCAAACTAATGTGAGGATTCCTAGGGCTGTTCCCTATAGCCTATGCTCACATAGACAGAGGCTGGTAAGAGCAGCAGCTTATTATTGTGGAAAAGATAACAGGGTGAAATCAAGAGACCTGGGTTAAATTTTAGCACTGATACCAACTTCTTCAATTATTTTTGGGAAGCATGTCATGTAAATCTGAGCTTCCCTTTTCGTATCTTTAACATGAGATTGTTAGGCTAGGCCCCATCAAAGACCCTTCCAGGTCTAAAACCCTCTTAAGACTTAAGATCTGCTACCTTCTGATGTTTTTTTTTTTTAAGGTCTGCCAGAGGTAATCCTTGGATAATGCAAGCCTGATACCATGTTCTGAGCCCTACTGAACATTCCTTAGAACTCAGAGTCCTCAGAAACACATTGTTATCATTCTTGATACACCGTGATAATTTGTATACTTCTGTTTAGCTTGACTCTGGAGGCCTGCAGTATCTCAGTCATTGTACTCAGTATTGGATTTAAAAGAAGTTCATCAATGTAGTAGTAAACACAGCGTCTTACATCTTACACATCTGGTAGTTTAGGGTTAGCCTCTGAAGATGATGCACAGTGAGGGGAGAGGAGGTAGATATAGATGTAGTGATAATTTTACCTTTTCTTCCCCTTTTCTTTCTCATATCCTTAAAAGCTTTCTCTAGAGCCTCTTTTATTGTTCAAAATTAGTGTGTCTTTAAGAAAAATCCATGTGTCTTTAAGAAAATCACTTAATTGGCCATATGCCCACCTGCCTTGTCATGGTAACTTTTTTGTGATTAACTCATTTTTTTTTTCTTGTGACTAACTCATTATTTTCCACAATGTCAAAAGAATTTGGTGGTCAAAAGTTTTAGGAATAAACTTTGGCTTTTCAATTAAATGTCTGCTTTCAAAAGGGATCTGATTTCTTGAAGCTATTCTTAGAACCAAACTGGAAAATAGCAATCTAGATGATATATTTACATAGCAATAGCAATAGCAATATTTTCCTGTTGAATATTGCAGTGTACATTTCAAAACACTTCATGGGCCAGGCACCATGATTTGGCACCTGTAATCCCAGTACTTTGAGGGTCCAAGGCAGAAGGACTGATTGAGCCATTCAAGACTGCTTGGGCAACATAGCGAGACCTCATCTCTACATATAATTTAAAAATTTAGCCAGGTGCAGTGGCTCATACCTGTAATCTCAGCACTTTGGGAGACTGAAGCAAGAGGATCACCTGAGATCAGGAGTTTGAGACCAGCCTGGTCAACATGGTAAAACCCTGTCTCTACTAAAAATAAAAAATTAGCTGGGCATGGTGGCAGGCACCTATAATTCCAGCTACTTGGGAAGCTGAGCCAGGAGAATCATTTGAACCCAGGAGACAGAGGTTGCAGTGAGCTGAGATCTCACCATTGAACTCCAACTTGGGCAACAAGAGCGAAACTCCATCTCAAAAAAAAAAAAAAAAAAAAAAAAAAAGCCAGGCATGGTGGTGGTGGTGCACACCTGTGGTCCCAGGTATTCAGGAGGCTGAGGTGGGAGGATCACTTGAGCCCTGGCTGTTGAGGCTGCAGTAAGCCAAGATTGTGTCACTGCCCTCCAGGCTGGACAACAAAAAAGCCCACAAAACACTTCATGTACATTATTTTGGCAGTTTATCTATACAACGTAACTGTGTGAACAGGTGGTATAAAGCCATTTTCTATACTGAAGAAAAGACTTCATCACCACTAGTTGGTGGCAGAGTTGACCCTAGAATCTATGTTCTTCTTGACTCTAGCTCCAGAATCCTTTTGAGCTTACCACATATTACCTTCCCTACCAGGAAAGCATCATGGTGTGTTGTGGTAGAAAATGTTCTTCTGACTTGCATTTTTAATACAGTCCTGGAAAAAGCCAGCCAGTTTTAGGCTGCTTCGCCATAGAATTCCGAACACTGAAAACAGAATAACCAAGGAGGATTTTCTCCAGGTGACCTGTAAAGTAAATTTGGCTTCCTGTGTCTGATGCATCAGGGTCATTAAATGGTGGCCTATTGTTTGATGGCATAATTTTTTGCCTATGGCTCTTTTTAGCTTTTTTGAATGAGGCTGAGCAGTGGTGCCTGTGGTTACTTTAACAGAGATAATCCCCCATTTCAAAAGACCTCATACGAACAGTTCTGTGTCATTTTTGTGAATTTTAACCTTTTCTTTACCACAGCACATCTGAAAGCACAACAGTGACGCTCACATAGGCATGGAGGAGGGTTGGACACACACTATAGGATGTTTGCTTCTCCCTTTCTCCTCCCTTCTGGGAGTCACTAGGATTCTTGTTTATAGTACGTGGTATATATTTCTGCTATGAATTAAACAGGATCCCTCATTTGTTTCCTTAAAAAATAATGTCATTCTTCACCTTAATTTTTCTGAGCTTTCTTTTATTTATAAGTGGGAACTGGGTAGGTTTGTCTGTTGGGAGATTTAGTCTAAAAAAAGATATTTATTTGTAGATATGTAGGGTGTCTTCTTCCAAGAGGCATCTTTCTCACTCCCAGTCCTGACTCAGAACACATGAACAGTAATCTTGAGGTAGTTATCCTTGCTGATGGTTAATCCTCGAATAATGCAAGCCTGATACCACGTTCTGAGCCTTACTGAACATTCCTTAAGAATTCACATTCCTCAGAAATACAGTGCTACCATTCTTGAACTACTGTGATAATTTGTTTCGCTTGACTCTGAGGGCCTGCAGTATCTCAGTCGTTGTACTCAGTGTTGGAGTTAAAAGAAACTCATCAATGTATTAGTAAACAAGTGTCTTAAATCTTACACATCTGGTAATTTAAGACTAGCCTTTGAAGAAGATGCACAGTAAGGGGAAGTAGATATTGTGATAATTTTACCTTCTCCCTCCCCTTAGGAGTCTATACTTTACTCACAACTCATCTCACTGCCATCCTTGTGGAGAGCCACAGTGTAGTGCAAGATTCTATCCAGTTTATCGTGGACCAGGTCTTGGAGCAACATCACCAGGCTGCCAAGGTAATAAGGAATTCACAGCCTCCTTTCTCTATTCTCTAAGGAAAAGACAGCAAGCATATAATAGCAGGCAGGGCCCAGGAGCCCTTGCTCCCGTAATGCCCCTTCCTCTCCTCTTCTGTCACCAGGGTGATCTTATAAACGCTGCATCTAGCCTACAACTCAAACTTTAGCTTAGATGAATCACTGTAACCAGCTTGCTTAGTCTTACCTCCTAGTAGGTGTGTTTGGGTAAATAGGGAAATAGAGAATAGGTAAAAATGGCTGATAGCACACCTCTTCCTTGTCTATATAAACTCTTCCCCTTCTCACCCCACAGACTTCTGGAGCTGCTGCTTCACTGTGTCTTACATTCTTTCCCCATTTTCCTAATTGTCTACAACACCACTTTCTCTTCTTACTTGATTTTCTGAATCCATCCATCCTGCATACTTTTGGTAACACATTTCTTTCCTCATATGGCCCCCTTTTCAGGTAAAAAACAACCACACTAAGAGAACAGAACTAAAAGGTTTTTTTTTCTTCAAATAGTGTGTTTTCTTGACCAGTGTTCTTATTGCTTGTCTTCTCTAAATGTGTCTGTGCCAATAAGTCATCTCTGTGAAATGAGAGAACATTTAAAATTTTTATTTTAATCCCTTAGTGTTATGATATAAAAATATGTGAAGGGCTCAGTAACTTTTATTGCTGGAGAGGAAGAATTGTTGAAATCCTGCTCTGATAGAAATGTGTGGCCCCTCTGGGATTCTCTAAACCAAATGCTGGAATTCATGGTCTTCCCCTTACTTGTTTCCCAGGCTCAGCAGAAACTACAGGCCCCACTCTCAGTCGCTGTGAACTCCATCATGAGTATTCTGACTGGAAGCACTAGGAGCAGCTTCCGAAAGATGTGTCTCCAGACCCTTCAAGTTAGTAGACTGGGATTAGAGATGCCTGAAAGTGCCCGGGTTTTGGCTGGGTATGGTGGCTCATGCCTGTAATCACAGCACTTTCAGAGGCCAAGGTGGGAGGATCGCTTGAGCCCAGGAGTTTGACACCAGCCTGGGCAACACAGAGAGACCCTGTCTCTACAAATAATTAAAAAATCAGGAGCCAGGTGGTGACTCATGCCATAATCCCAGCATTTTGGGAGGCTGAGGTCAGGGGTTCTAGACCAGCCTGACCAACATGGAGAAACCACATCTCTACTAAAAATACAAAATTAGCTGGGTGTCGTGGCACATGCCTGTAATCCCAGCTACGCAGGAGGCTGAGGCAGGAGAATTGTTTGACCCAGGAAGATGGAGGTTGTGGTGAGCCAAGATCACACCATTGTACTCCAGACTGGGCAACAAGAGCAAAACTTCATCTTTAAAAAAAAAAAAAAAATCAGCCAGGTACACACACCTGTGATCCCAGTTCCTCAGGAGGCTGAGGTAGGAGGATCACCTGAACCTGGGATGTTGTGCCTGAGCCATGATCACATTAGTGTACTCCAGCCTGGGCAACAGAGTGAGACCTGTCTTTAAAAAAAAAAAAAAAAAAATAGTCTGGGCGCAGTGGCTCAAGCCTGTAATCTCAGCACTTTGGGAGGCTGAGGCAGGTGGATCACAGGGTCAGGAGGTCAAGACCATCACCAACATGGTGAAACCCCGTCTCTACTAAAAATACAAAAAAAAGGCCGGGCGTGGTGGCTCACACCTGTAATCCCAGCACTTTGGGAGGCCAAAGCAGATGGATCATGAGGTCGAGAGATTGAGACCATTCTGGTCAACATGGTGAAACCCCGTCTCTACTAAAAATACAAAAAAATTAGCTGGGCATGGTGGCGCGTGCCTATAATCCCAGCTACTCAGGAGGCTGAGGCAGGAGAATTGCCTGAACCAAGGAGGCGGAAGTTGCGGTGAGCTGAGATTGCCATTGCACTCCAGCCTAGGTAACAAGAGCGAAACTGTCTCAAAAAAAAAAAAAAAAAAAAAAAAAAAGTAGCTGGGTGTGGTGGCACGTGCCTGTAATCCCAGCTACTCAGGAGGCTGAGGCATGAGAATCACTTGAACCCAGGAGGCTGAGGTTGCAGTGAGCCAAGATTGTGCCACTGTAGTCCAGCCTGGGTGACAGAATGAGATTCCGTCTGAAAAAAAAAAGGCTGCGGGCAGTGGCTCATGACTGTAATCCCAGCACTTTGGGAGGTCAGGAGTTTGAGACTAGCCTGGCCAACATAGTAAAACCCTGTCTCTACTAAAAATACAAAAATCAGTTGGGTGTGGTGGCAGGTGCCTATAATATTAGCTCCTTGGGAGGCTGAGGCAGGAGAAATGCTGGAACCTGGGAGGCAGAGGTTGCAGTGAGCCTAGATCATGCCATTGCACTTCAGTTCAGGCGACAACAGTGAAACTCTGTCTCGAAAAAAAAAAAAAAAGGTACCAGGGTTTTAATGACATCCTACTGCTTATCTTTTTAATATGTACAGTATTTTTAGAGACAGTGTAGACACTGTGATGCTACATAGTACCAGGCCTAAATTTTAAGAAATAGTCATTGAATAGTAGTATGTTTACCATTTTACAAATGAGAAAACAAGTTATTTATTTCTGCTTTCTTTTTTTTTTTGAGACGAAGTTTTGCTCTTGTTGCCCAGACTGGAGTGCAATGAATTTCAGCTCATTGCAACCTCTGCCTCCCGGGTGTAAGTGATTAGTGATTCTCCTGCCTCAGCCTCCCATGTAGCTGGGATTACAGGCATGTGCCACCACACCCAGCTAATATTTTGTATTTTTAGTAGAGACGGTATTTCTGCATGTTGGTCAGGCTGGTCTTGAACTCCTGACCTCAGGTGATCTGCCCGCCTCCCAGAATGCTGGGATTATAGGTGTAAGCCAACGTGCCCAGCTGATTTCTGCTTTCTTTAGGTCACACAGTTAGTTAAGAACAGAGCTAGGGCTGGGTGCGGTGGTTCATGCCTGTAATCCCAGCACTTTGGGAGGCTGAAGCAGATGGATTGCTTGAGGTCAGTTCATGACCAGCCTAACCAACATAGTGAAACCCCATCTCTACTAAAAACACTAAATTAGCTGGGCATGGTAACGCGCACCTGCAGTCCCAGCTACTCGGATGGCTGAGGCAGGAGAATCGCTGATAACTGGGAGGTGGAGGTTGTAGTGAGCCAGCATCGAGCCACTGCACTCCAGCTTGGGTGACAAAGTGTGACTCCGCCTTGGGAAAAACAAAAAACAAAAAACAGAGCTAGGACTAGATCAGTGACTCCTAATTCCTTGTTGAAGAATGCTGACAGAATACACTGGAGATAATTGAGCAACCTTAATTATTACATGTCTGTGGCATCAGAGGCTCAGGTTCAAATCCTGACTCATTTACATACTAGTTATGTTTAGGCCTGTAGTTCTGAGGCTTGTCTATAAATTGGAAAAAAATAATACCTCACAGAGTTATTGTGAAGGTGAGAGCTAAAGTGTGCTATGGTCTGTATGTTTATATGTCCCCAAAATTCGTATGTTGAATTCCTAACCCCTGAACTGATAAAATTAGGAGGTATGAGGCCTTTGAGAGGTGATTTGGGTCATTAGGCCCTCGTGAATGGGATTAATGCCTTTTCAAAAGAGGCCCTAGGTCAGGTGTGGTGGCTCATGCCTGTAATCCTGGCACTTTGTGAGGCTGAGGCAGATGGATCACCTGAGGTCAGGAGTTCGAGACCAGCCTGACCAACATGGTGAAACTCCATCTCTACTCAAAAAAAGACAAATTAGGCAGGCGAGGTGGCAGGCGCCTGTAATCTCAGCTCCTTGGGAGGCTGAGGCAGGAGAATCACTTAAACCTGGGAGGCACAGGTTGCGGCGAGCTGAGATCATGCCATTGCACTCCAGCCTGGGCAACAAGAATGAAATTCCATCTCCAAAGGAAAAAAAAGGCCCCAGGGAAAACCTCACCCTTTCTGCCATGTGAGGACACAGAGAGGAAGTGGGCAGCCTTTAGCCCAGAAGAGGGCCCTCACCAGAACTTTACCATGCTGGCACTTTAATTTCAGATTTCCAGCCTCCAGGACTGTGAGAAATAAGTTTCTATTGTTTATAAGCCACCCAGAGTAATTTGGTATAGCAGCCCAAATGGACTAAGACAATGTCAAAGTGCAGAGCATGTGGTAGATCCTCAATAAATGTTAGTTTTTCCCCTTCCTTTAGGAATGTGTGCTGACCAATTGATGTTATCAGTGGGCAACATATCACTCCATATTTGTTGCTTCTTATGTTGTTTTTGGTATAGTTTCTTGAAAAGCTAGTATAACACAAAAAATATTTTAAAATAACAAAATTTATCACTATAATTTTTAATTTTTGCTTACTATCTCATATTTACATGTAACCAAAGCATTCTATTTTTATATATAATTTGACATTTTCCCCATTTCAACAGTCTTAGACTTTTTAGTTAACTAATATCCCACCGTATTGTTTAAATCCAATTTAATAATAAGCCATTCCTCTGTTAGACATTTGTTTACATTCTTGCTATATACTATTTCAGTTAATACTTTTATGTAATATCTTTTCTCTTTTGAATTATTTTCTAGAACAAATTTCTACAGAAGTTATGAGTCAAAGTGTATAACATGTTTATAAGCTAGTGCATTTTATCATAGCTTCAACTTTCTGGGTCATGTGGATAGCACAGGGTAGTGAGAAGAACACAAAGTTGGGAATTGTAAGGTATGCATTAAAGCCCTAACTTTGTACTAACTAGCTGTGAGTTCTTGGGTGGGTCATTTCTCCTTTTTTTTTTTTTTTTGAGACGGAGTTTCGCTCTTGTTACCCAGGCTGGAGTGCAATGGCGCAATCTCGGCTCACCGCAACCTTCGCCTCCTGGGTTCAGGCAATTCTTCTGCCTCAGCTTCCCGATTAGCTGGGGCTACAGGTGCGCACCACCATGCCCAGTTAATTTTTGTATTTTTAGTAGAGACGGTGTTTCACCTTGTTGACCAGGATGGTCTCGATCTGTTGACCTCGTGATCCACCCGCCTCAGCCTCCCAAAGTGCTGGGATTATAGGCGTGAGCCACCGCGCCCGGCTTCACTTCTCCTTTTTGAATTTCAGTTTTCTCATCCTTAAAACTAGTGTGTTGTATTAGGCAACTACTCTGGTCCCCTTTAATTCGAACATCCTACGATTCTATATTTAAAAATAGAAAGCTGTTGCCTATTTCCTGTGGGTGCAAATTTATTATTTGTTCCTCTCCTCTCTAAAAGACTCATCAGAAAAAAAGGTCTCATATCAGCTTCAGTTATGCAGTAGAACCTGTGCTGTCTTGGAAACTCTTCTTATAGAAAAGAAGTTTATATAACCCCTTCATGAACAGATGGATCTCTTGGATATTTTCTCCTATAGAGATGGGAGAAAAGGCTGGTGGCGGTGGCTCACACCTGTAATCCCAATACTTTGAGAGGCTGAGGTGGGTGGATCACCTGAGGTTCCGAGTTTGAGACCAGCCTGGCCAACAGAGTGAAACCCCGTCTCTACTAAAATACAAAAATTAGCTGGATGTGGTGGTATGCGCCTATAGTCCCAGCTACTCAGGAGGCTGAAACAGGAGATCACTTGAACCCAGGAGGCGGAGGCTGCAGTGAGCCAAGATTGCACCACTACACTCTAGCCTGGGTGATTGTCTCAAAAAAAAAAAAAAAAAGGCGGGGGGGAGGGGAGAACAAAGGCCTTTTTTGAAGGATCTTGCTTAGGTGACAGAAGTGGGAAGACATATAGGAGCCACAACTACCTGTCATACCAAGTGTCGCAGGCCTTTTTTTTTCCTCTCTTGCCTTTATGAAGACTAAGAAAACTCCTAACTTTAATGGCTTGCCCATTATCTGCCTCATGTCTCCCTGTATAAATTTTCTGTGAGAATGTCCCCCTTTGGTTTCCAGTATTGGAACTCAGCATGTTCTATTTCTGGCCCATTTTAGGCAGCTGACACCCAAGAGTTTGGGACCAAACTGCACAAACTATTTTGTGAGATCACTCAGCACCAATTTCTTCACCGCTGCTCATGTGAGGTGAAGCAGGTCAGTGTAAACAATCAGTACTTTGGTGGGAATTTTCCATTTTGATATATTGGAATCCCGAATTGGCGGGTGGTGGGGGGGGTAGATACAGATGTTTCAGATTGCATAATCTGAGGTTAGCCTTTCCGCAAGGAAGCCTGTGAAACAAAATCATCTGTCTTCTGTCTCTCAGGAATGACTATCCTATTTGTTGCCTGGTGTCCGATGTTTTGAAAGCCATTGTTTCATATGTTGTATCCAGGATTTTTGTTATTTCAGGCATGAGGGTATGAGGATAGATTCAGTCCCTGTTACTCCAACTTGTCCAGAAGACACTGTAGAATATTTTCTATTTTTTTTTCTTCTTGAGATGGAGTCTCATTCTGTTGTCCAGGCTGGAGTGTAATGGCACGATCTCAGCTCACTGCAACCTCCACCTCCTGGGTTCAGTGATTCTCCTGCCTCAGCCTCCTGAGTAGCTGGGACTACAGGCACCAACCACCACACCCAGCTAATTTTTGTATTTTTAGTAGAGACGGGGTTTCACCATGTTGGCCATGATGGTCTCGATCTCCTGACCTCGTGATCCACCTGCCTCAGCCTCCCAAAGTGCTGGGATTACAGGTGTGAACCACCGTGCCCGGCCTACTGTAGGATATTTTCATCTTTAATCTCTCTTATTTATTCATCCTATATTTTTAGTTCCAGATAAGTCAGTCCTTCTGATAAGAGCCAACAGAGCCAGAAAAGTGGGCTTCAGTTGGACTACTACTAACAGCTATACCTGGAATTTGTAGAGAAACAGAATTTCCTAGCTATAATCTCCCTTCACTCATTAGAGGAGACCATCACAAAACCAGACAAAAGCTATTGACCTCCTTCAGGGTAAAGATTTCAACTAATGAAACTCTAGATCTCCAGCATCCAAAAATATGAAAAGATAAAAGTGTACTTATTTTTTTATTATTATTTTTTGTAGACAGAGTCTTGCTTTATTGCCCAGGCTGGGGTGCAGTGGTGCAATCTTGGCTCACTACAACCTCTGCCTCTCAGGTTCAAGTGATTCTCCTGCCTCAGCTCCTCGAGTAGCTGGGACTACAGGCATGCACTACTATGCCTGGCTAATTTTTGTATTTTTAGTAGAGATGGAGTTTCACCATGTTGGCCAGGCTGTTCTCGAACTCCTGATCTCAGGTGATCTGCCTGCCTTGGCTTCCTAAAGTATTGGGATTACAGGCTGAAGCCACCATGCCAGCCCATAATCGACTTTTTAAAGCATAAATAATAACACTGTATTATAATGTTTATTGCCATGGAGAAGTAAAACATATGGCAATAATAGAAAAAGAGCAGGAGGAAAGAAATGGAAAAATACTGTTGTAGGGTCTTATACTATATGTGGAGTGATATAATACTAATTGAAGGTAAACTGATAAGTTAAAAATAAAAGGAATCAGCTGGGTACAGTGGCTCACTCGTGTAATCCAAGCACTTTGGGAGATCAAGACAGGTGGATCGTTTGAGCTCAGGAGTTCAAGACCAGCCTGGGCAACATGGTGAAACCCTGTCTCTCCAAAAGTAGAAAAAAAAAAATTAGACATAGTGGCATACGCCTGTAATTCGAGCTATTTGGGAGGCTAAGGTGGGAGGACTGCTTGAGCCCAGGAGGTCAAGGCTGTAGTGAGCCAAGAATGTGCCACTGCACTCCAGCCTAGGTGACAGAGCAAGATTCTGTCTCAAAAATAAGTAAATAAAAAGAACCATTCAAATAACACAAGACCGGCGCGGTGGCTCAGACCTGTAATCCCAGCACTTTGGGAGGCTGAGGTGGGCGGATCACAAAGTTAAGAGATTGAGACCATCCTGGCCAACCGGGTGAAACTTCGTCTCTACTAAATATACAAAAATTAGCTAGGTGTGGTGGCACACACTTGTAGTCCCAGCTACTCAGGAGGTGGAGATTGCAGTGAGCCAAGGTCGCACCACTGCACTCCAGAGTGAGACTCTGTGTCAAAAAAAAAAAAAAAAAAAAAATGGCAGAATGGCCAGGCACAGTGGCTCACCCTCTAATTCTAGCAGTTTGGAGGCCGAGGCAGGCGGATTGCTTGAGGTCAGGAGTTCACGGCCAACATTGTGAAATCCCATCTGTACTAAAAGTTAAAAAAATTAGCCGGGCATGGTGGTTCGCACCTGTAGTCCCAGCTCCTTGGGAGGCTGATGCAAGAGAAAAGCCCAAGGGCAGAGGCTGCAGTAAGCTGAGACTGCACTCCAGCCTGGGGGACTGAGTGAGACTATGTCTCAAGAAAAAAAAGGCAGAAAATGAGGAAAAGAGAACAAAGAACATATGAGGCTAATAGAAAACACTTATCAAGATGATATATTTAAATCCTATCATATCAATTATTCCATTAAATGTTAATGGACTTTGCGCAAGCGCAGTGGCTCATGCCTGTAATCTCAGCACTTTGGGAGGCTGAGACAGGCAGATCACTTGAGTTCAGGAGTTCAAGCTCAGGAGTTCAAGACCAGCCTGGCCAACATGGCAAAACCCTGTCTCTACAAAATATTTTAAAAATTAGCTAGGCTGGGTGCGGTGGCTCACACCTGTAATCCCAGCACTTTAGGAGGCCAAGGTGGGTGCATCACTTGAGGTCAGGAGTTCAAGATCAGCCTGGCCAATATGGTGAAACCTCATCTCTACTCAAAATATAAAAATTTGCCAGGCGTGGTAGTGTGCCTATAGTCCCAGCTACTCGGGAGGCTGAGGCAGGAGAATAGCTTGAACCTGGGAGGCAGAGGTTGCAGTGAGCCAAGATTGCACCACTGCACTCCAGCCTAGACATCACGGACTGTCTAAAAAAAAGAAAGAAAGAAAGAAATTAGCTGAGGCTGGGCACATTGGCTCAGCCTGCAATCCTAGCATTTTGGGAAGCCAAGGCAGGTGGATCACTTGAAGCCAGGAGTTTGAGACCAGCCTGGCCAACATGGTGAAATTCTGTCTCTACTAAAAATACAAAAATTAGCCGGGTGTCGTGGCACATACCTGTTGTTTCAGCTATTAGGGAAGCTGAGGCAGGAGAATTGCTTGAACCCATGAGGCAAAGGCTGCAGTGAGCTGAGATCGTGCCACTGCATTCCAGCCTGGGCAACAGAGTGAGACTCCATCTCAAAAAGATTAGCTGAGTGTGGTGGTGCGTACTTGTGTGGTCTCAGCCACTCGGGAGCCTGAGGTAGGGAGGATCGCTTGAGAATGGGAGGCAGAAGTTGCAGTGAGCCAGCATTGCACCATTGTACTCCAGCCTGGGTGACAGAGTGAGACCCTGTCTCAAAAAAAAAAAAAAAAAAAAAAGAGAAGTAAATGGTCTGAATAATCCAATTAATAAAAGGCAGAGATTGTGAGACTGGGTAAAGAAGCAAGAGCCAACAATATGCATCTACAAGAATCCCACTTTAAATATAAAGACAGGAAAAAAGTAAAAGTCTGGAAAAAGATATGCCATGCTTACCATAATAAAACAGAGCTGGAGAAGCTATCGTAATATCAGGCAAAGTAAATTTCAGATCAAAGCATATTACCAGGGATTAAGAGTCATTTCATAATTAGTCACAAAGACAATAGTCCTAAACATTCATGCATATTTTTTATTCTTTTTTTTCCTTTTTTTCTCTTTTATGCAGTTAAGAAAGCTTTAAAATACATGACACAGGCTGGGAGCAGTGGCTCACGCCTGTAACCCCAGCACTCTTGGAGGCTGAGGTGGGTGGATCACAAGGTCAGGAGTTCAAGACCACCCCAGTCAACATGGTGAAACCCCGTCTCTACTAAAAATACAAAAATTAGATGGGTGCAGTGGCACACACCTGTAATCCCAGCTACTTGGGAGGCTGAGGCAGGAGAATTGCTTGAACCTAGGAGGTGGAGGTTGCAGTGAGCCAAGGTCGCACCACTGCACTCCAGCCTGGGGAACAGAATGAGACTCTGTCTCAAACAAACAAAAAACAGGATACAGGGGGGCTGGGCATGATGACTCACAACTGTAATCTCAACACTTTGGGAGACCGAGGCATGTGGATTACTTGAGCCCCGGAGTTCAAAACCAGCCTGGGTAACATGGCAAAACCCTGTCTCTACAAAAAAAATAGAAGAATTAGCCAGGTGTGGTGGCACACACCTGTAGTCCCCGCTACTCGAGAGGCTGAGGTGGAAGAATTGCATGAGCCCAGGAGGCAGAAGTTGCAGTAAGCTAAAATGACGTCACTATACTCCAGTCTGGGTAGCAGCATGACCCTGCCTCAAAATACATACATGCATACATACATACATACTTAAAAATACATAAAACTAATAGAACTATAAGGAGAAATAGACAAATCCAAAATTATATTTCCAGATTTCAACAAAATTATCTCAATAATTGATAGGATAAGTAGAGACAGAAAGTCAGAACAGTGCTTTCAATCACTTTGACCTAATAGGTATAAAAACACTGTTCAGCCACAGAAGAATTTGCATTATTTTCAAGTGCACAAGGAACTTTTAACAAGACAGACCATATTCTAAGGCATTAAATATGTCTCAATACATTTTAAAGTCTCTAAGTCATAAAAGTATGTTTCTGACTATAATAGAATTATTAAAGCAAAATCAGTAACAAGATATCTAGAAAATTCCAAAATATTTGGAAACTAAATGACACACATATAAATAACCCATGGATTAAACACAGAAATAAAAGGGATATTAGAAATAATTTAATTAAATGAGAAAGAAAATTATCAAAATTTTGGGATGTAGCTGATGTAGTGTTTAGAGGGGAAAATGCCTGTGTTAGAAAAGAAAAAAGGCTCAAATTAATGACATTACTTTCCAACTTAAACTATAATAAGAAGAGCAAATTAAACACAACTTAAACAGAAGAAATGAACTAATAAAGATCAGAATGGAAATCAGTAAAATAGAAACCAGAAAAACAATAGAGAAAAATCAATGAAAGTAAAAGGTGGCTAATTTAGAAGATTAATAGAATTGATAAACATTTAGCCAGACTAATCAGAATAAAAAGAATGAACACAAATTGCCACTATCAGAAATGAGAAAGGTAGCATCAGATATTAAAAGGATTATCAGGCCGGGCATGGTGACTCACCCCTGAAATCCTAGCACTTTGGGAGGATCTGGAGGTCAGGAGTGCGAGACCAGCCTGACCAATGTGGTAATACCTCATCTTTACTAATAATAGAAAAATTAGCCAGGCGTGGTGGCACATGCCTGTAATCCCAGCTACTCAAGAGGCTGACTGAGGCAGAGTTGCTTGAACCCAGGAGGTAGAGGTTGCAGTGAGCCAAGATCATGCCATTGTACTATAGCCTGTGTGACAGAGCGAGACTCTGTCTCAAAAAAAAGAACTACCCCTACGTACCTGATAGCACTGTGTCTATTTTTTTAATTGAATGTTTAAAAACCTTACCATGATATCCTCAATATATAAAGAACTCTTAAAACTCATTAATAAGAAAAACCAGTTTTTTTATGGGCAAAAGATTTGAACACACTTCACAAAAGAAGCTACAGATACACAAATGGCAGATAAACACGTAAGATGCACAACCTCATCAGTCGTAACAAAAATTCAAAGAAGAATCACAATGTGATAACCATTTCATGCCATTGGAATGTAAGGCCTGACTATACCACGTGTTGACAAGCATGTGGAGGAGTGAACTCATGTCCTAATGTCCTACACCGTTTGTGGAAATGAAAAATGGAACAAGCACTTTGGAAAACAGTTTGGCAGTTTCTTAAAAAGTTAAACATACACCTACCACATGACCTAGTGCTTTCACTCCTAGGTATTTACCCAAGAGAAATGAAAGCATTATGTCCACACAAAGACTTGTACACAAATCTTCACAGCACCCTTGTTATAGCCAAAAATGAGAAACAACTATCAACAGGTAAATGGATAAACAAATTGTTGTAGCTCCACATAAAGGAACACTATGTGAAAATAAAAGAACTATTGAAACACAATGACATGGATGAATCTTTGAATAGCATAGTGAGTGAAAAAAATCGAGAAATTAGAGTACAAACTGTTTGTACTTATATAATTCTATAAATATGCCAACTAATCTATATAGGTCAGTGGTTACGAGAAGGTGGGAGGGAGGGAATGATGATAAAGGGCAGCAGGACACTTAGAGGGAGATGAGTATGCTCATTATGTTGATTGTGTGATGGTTTCACAGGTATGGACATGTGTACTTATAAAATTGTACATTTTCTGTATCTGCAGTTTACTTGGTCAGTTTATATCTCAATAGTTATAAAAACTATGGTCACTGTTTCTGAGAAAATAATTAACAGGGCCTTTGGCACCTCCTCTGCATCTTCTCTGCTACTTGTATCTCTACTTGCCTGATTGGGTGGGGAAGTTTAGATGCCCAGGCACGGAAGGATCACAGCATCTAGTGGACTTGGCCATTCTCCTCTTCAGTGTGACTAGAGAGGCACAGAGCAGCAGTAAACCCCTGAGTGCTCCCTTCACCACACCTTTTCATGCTGGCTGTGCCTTCTAGGATGTACTTCCCAGGAATGTGTCTGCTGTTCCTTTCAGCTGGTACACCACAAATACTCTTGCCAGTTTCCCTCTGACTGGAAAGGGACTTGGAAAGCTGCCGTCCACACCTTGAGTAAATAAAGCTAAAATGCTTTGTATCCATTTCCTGGGAATGCTGTGAGAAATTAACATAAACTTGAAGGTTTAAAAACAACCAAAATTTATTCTGTCACAGTTCTGGAGGCCAGAAGTCCAAAATCAAGGTGTTGGCAGGGCCACACCCCCTCCAAAGTTTCTAGAGAATCCTTTCTTGCCTTGCCTCTTCTAGGTTCTGATGGAAACTGTTCCTTGGCTTCCTGTAGCCTGCGTAACTCCAAACTGTACTCCATCTTCATGTTGCTTTCTCCCCGTCTCTCAAATTTCTTTCTGCCTTCTTTTTTTTTTGAGACTGAGACTCACTCTGTCACCCAGACTGGAATGCAGTGGTACAATCTCAGCTCACTGCAACGTCCACCTCCAGAGTTCACGTGATTCTCCTGCCTCAGCCTCCTGAGTAGCTGGAATTACAGGCGCCCACCACCATGCCCGGCTAATTTTCGTATTTTTAGTAGTGACAGTGTTTTGCCATGTTGGCCACGCTGGTCTCAAACTTCTGACCTCAGGTGATTTGCCTGCTTTGGCCTCCCAAAGTGCTGAGATTACAGGCCTGAGCCACCACACCTGGTCTCTGCCTTTCTCTCATAAAGATACCTGCCAGCTGGGCGCAGTGGCTCATGCCTGTAATTCCAGTACTTTGGGAGACTGAGGCAGGTGGATCATGAGGTCAAGTGATCAAGACCATCCTGGCCAACATGATGAAACACCGTCTCTACTAAAAATACAAAAATTAGGCCAGGTGCGGTGGCTCATGCCTGTAATCCCAGCACTTTGGGAGACCAAGGTGGGTGGATCATGAGGTCAGTTCAAGACCAGCCTGCCCAAGATGGCGAAACCCTGTCTCTACTAAAAATACAAAAAAATTAGCTGGGTGTGGTGGCAGGTGCCTGTAATCCCAGGTACTCAGGAGGCTAAGGCAGAGAATTGCTTGAACCTGGGATGTGGAGATCGCAGTGAGCGGAGATGTTGCTACTGCACTCCAGCCTGGGTGATACAGCGAGACTCTGTCTCAAAAAAGAAAAAAAAAAGGTATCTGTCATTGGATTTAGGGACCACTCAGGATCTAGGAGTGTTTCAGCCTGTGAAGTCCTTTTAACTTGGGCCTCTGTGATATCCCAGTAAGACCTAAAAAAAATATTCTGGGCCAGGTGCATTGGCTCACTCCTGTAATCTCAGCACTTTGGGAGGCTGACGCAGGTGGATCACTTGAGGTCAGGAGTTTGAAACCTGCTTGGCCAACATGGTGAAATCCCATCTCTACTAAAAATACAAAAATTAGCCTTGCCTGTTGGCACACGCTTGTAATCCCAGCTACTCAGGAGGCTGAGACATGAGAATTGCTTGAATCCAGGAGGCAGAGGCTGCAGTGAGCCAAGATCGTGCTACCACCGTACTCCAGCAAGGGTGACAGAGCAAGACTCTGTCTTAAAAAAAAAAAAAAAAAAAAAAAATCTGACCTCTTTTACCCTGTTCTTTTGCTATAGTCATGGCTCATAGCCTCAGGGCCATTCATAGCCCAGTTAACTTGGCAGATGGCTAGTGAACTCAAGTTCTTACCAGTAGTCATAGGTCTTAGAAGAAACACTTACTGAATCCCTAATCTGTGCCAAGGTTTTCACTTTAATCTCTGCAAAGATGTTATAAATTAGGTCACAGTTTAACCATTTTACAGATGAGGAAACTGGTTACAGAACTTTCATAATTTGCCCAGAGTCACACAGTCAGTAAATACAACGCTAGAATTTGTACTGAGATCTCCTGGCTCTGAAGTCTGGTAATACTGTTAACATAGAGGACTGGGCTGCAAGCCCAGGGAAGATGAGTGATCCAGGTCATTGGGTAGAACCCATGCTTCTCTCTCTACTCAGGATCATAGGGTTTTCCTCATAATGGCCATTTAGTGATAAATAACTTATTAGCGGTACAAGAGTGGCACCCAGTGGCTTCAGCTAAAACTACAAGACTAAGGATAATAGGTCAGATTCTTTTACCTGTAGGCCATTCTGTTTTAGCTGGCCTCTTAATAGGAAAGAAAACCATCTACTATATGCTTTATTGAGAAATTGAAAACAAAACGAGGGAATATATATTTAGAGTGTTACAGAGTAAGAATGGAGAGGGTATCGTTTTTATTTGTTTAGAGACAGGTTCTCACTATGCTGCCCAGGCTGGAATGCAGTGACTATTCATAGGTGTGATCACGATGCACTACAGCCTCAAGCTTAAGTGATCCTCCTGTGTCACCCTCCTGAGTAGCTGAAACTATAGGTGTGCACCACTGCACCTGGCTAGGAGTGGATATTTTAAGTCTGAATGTTGGAAGAGACAGTGGGCCAGGGAGGAGTGACCAAGATAGTACTCCAGGATTTAATGTCACAGGTGTGTCAGGGGAGTTAGAACTTAAACCCAGAATTTGAGCAGTAGTAACAAGGAGGCAATTTTCTAAGGAAAGGCATTGTTTCCGGTGGGCAGGGGGTGGAGTGGACTAGAAATAAATGTCTTATAGTGTTAAATCCAAGGAGGGGCCGGGCACAGTGGCTCATGCCTGTAATCCCAGCACTTTGGGAGGCCGAGGTGGGTGGATCACCTGAGATCAGGAGTTCACAACCAGCCTGGTGAACATGGGGAAACCATCTCTACTAAAAATACAAAAATTAGCTGGGCATGGTGGTGCATGCCTGTAATCCCAGCTACTCTGGAGGCTGAGGAAGAATTGCTTGAACTCAGGAGGTGAAGTTTGCCGTGAGCTGAGATTGCACCACTGCACTCCAGGCTGCACGACGGGAGGAAGACTATATCAAAAAGGAAAAGAAACAAAAATCCAAGGAGGTGTATCTTGAAGTAGGGCTGTCTTATCCGAGGGACAGATGATGAATGCAGGACATGCAAGGCTCCCAGATAGGCCTAGAGCTTTGTATTTCCATGTAGGTAATTCCTTGATCAGACCAATTTCAAGATAGGAGAAAGGTTTATCTATTACATGAGATTTCCCAAGCTAAAGCAAGAAAAAAAAGTATCTCTCAAGAAAAAAAATGTTTGGGAAATATCCAGTTTCTTTCTTCACATCTTTAGTTATCTTTGCCCCTTTTATGTTCCTTGGAATGTAATTAGGAACTAAAACTTGTTTTATTAAACAATATATGATAGATGTCTTATAGAGATAATTGATGTGCCATAAAATGTACCATTTTAAAGAATAAAACTCATTGGCTTTAAGTATATTCACTATGCTGTGCAGCCATCACCACTAAATTCCAGAACCTCTCCATCATGCCATGAGCAGTACCTGTTCGCAGCGAGTCCCAGTTCCCCTCTTCCTTCAACACTGCCAACCACTAATATACCTCCCATTTCTATTGATTTGCCTATTCTGGATACTTCATATAGATGGAACCACACAACATGTGGCCTTTGTGTGACTTCTTTCATTTAGCATGTTCCCAAGGTTCATCTATGTTATTACCATGTAACACATAATTTCATCCATTCGTATGGCTGAATAATAGTCCATTGTATGGATATACCACATTGTTTATCCATTAATTAGTGGAACACAAGCTTTTTCTACTTTTTAGCTATTATGAATATGCTGTTATGAACACTTGTGTGGACATGTTTGTAACTCTCAGGTATATATCTAGGAGTAAAATTGCTGAGTCATATAACACTATGTTTTAACTTTTTTAAAGAACTTTCAAGCCGATTTCCACAGTCTGCACCATTTTACATTCCTGCCAGTACCGTGTGATGGTTCCAATTTCTCTGTACCCTCATGAACAGTTGTCAGTTTTTATTATTGGCATCCTAGTGCATGTGAAGTAATTTAGAGGTTTCAATTTGCATTTCTTTAATGAATATTGATGCTGAGTATCTCTTCCATGTGCTTATTGGCCATTTGCATATCTTTGAAGAAATGTCTATTCAAATCTTTTGCCTTTTTTTTTTTCTTCTGAGATGGATTCTTGCTCTGTTGCTAGGCTGAAGTGCAGTGGTGCAATCCTGTCTCACTGCATCCTCTGCCTCCTGGGTTCAAACGTTTCTCCTGCCTCAGCCTCCAGAGTAGCTGGGATTACAGATACATATCACCATGCCTGGCTAATTTTTGTATTTTTATTGGAGACAGGGTTTCACCATGTTGGTCAGGCTGGTCTCAATCTCCTGACCTTGTGATCTGCTCGCCTCAGCCTCCTTCACCCAGGCTGGAGTGCAAATGGTGCAATCTCGGCTTACTGCAACCTCTACCTCCCAGGTTGAAGCAATTCTCCTGCCTTAGCCTCCCAAGTAGTTAGGATTACAGGTGCCCACCACCACACCTGGCTAATTTTTGTATTTTTAGTAGAGACGGGGTTTCACCATGTAGGCCAGGCTAGCCTCGAACTCCTGACCTCAGGTGATCTGCCCACCTTGGCCTCCCAAAGTGCTGGGATTACAGGCGCCATACCCAGCCACAAATTTTTGAGGAAGAGGGTATCTATTTTTATACATTTGTATTCTTGAAAAGGAGCTGGGAGGATTGGGTTCTGGTCACATTAAGAACCTCTCTTCCAAATCATTAAGAACCTCTCTGTCAAAATTATTGGACTAACCATTGTGGCAAGGCTCGAGGCTACAGATGACTACAGAATACACCCTCTGACTTCCCAGGTTTGACTTTCTCAAATTTACCTTGTGTAAGGGACTCTGCTAGCTATAAAGTGACAGAGGCATGATGATTCTTGCCTTTCAAGAGATTTAAGGTGTAGAAAATGGACATACGCATATTACTTGATGAACAGTCACAGAGCATACTAGCAGAATATACAGAGCCTGATGAGTGGAGCAGGCAGTAGGCAAGAGACCAGAGTTCAGAGAAGAAAGGATGTGCCGTGAGTAGCCAGAGTGCAGAAGGATCCACCGAGGGAAACCCTGAAGGCTGGAGGCTGGGTAGGGGATTCATGAGCCAGGAGGAAGAGAGAATTCCAGGTGAGGGCAGACAGCCTTGTGAGGTCAGCGATAGGCACACTCTTGTTTCACTAGGGCTCATTCATGTTTCTGCAAAACTCACTTAGGACTTCTAATTTTTCAAGCAGCTAACCCTAGAGAAAAAGGACTCAGCTCAGAGCACTGAGGACGCACCTGGTAACAGCAGCCTAGAGCTCCTAACAGGTAAGGTTTAAGCTTTTCAAGTGAGCCCTGGACTGCAGCTAGGGAAGTAAAAAACAAGTTCAAACTTTCAAACTGTTCCACTGTACCTTCTATTACAGTGGTGCCCTTCTGCAATTTAGTTGGCTTTGCTGCCACTGTGGGTCTTCAAGGCAGCAGCAGGTATTCCTCCCCAAAGATGTGAAGATAGGACTACAAATTTTTAATACATTCTGTGTAGTTACAAATAGCTGCACATGATGGGGTGAGGGTAGGTAATCCGCAGATTCAGGGCCCTGAATCTAGTTGGTTCCTTCACATCTTTTCTGGATTACCAGGGTTGATGTTGCAGCTCTCCCCATTTTGGTTACTACTATGATTTGGGATCTGGAAGCTGCTCCCGGGTGTAGGCACCATGTCACTCTTAATGTGTGCTATGGGGAAGTGTCAGGGCATGTGTTGTGATTGCAATTATACTGAAGTCTTTTCTCCGTACATGTCTCCTGCAATACTTAAAACAGACTTCCAGCCAGCAGCAGCAGGGGTATAGTAGCTGTCACACTCAGTCACTGGCAGAGGGGCCAGGTCCTATTCTGAGCTTTTAAAATGTACTAATGCTCTCAGTTCTCAAAACAATCCTAGGGGTTATAGGTATTATTATTTTCATTTTATATATGAGGAAATTGAGGCCCATAGGTATCAATAAACTTACCCAAGGCCACACAGCCAGTAAATGACAGAGCCAGAATTCAAACGCAGGCAGCCTGAGTTTGAATTAGCAGGGATGTCCTCCTACAGATCCTGAGTCCTTCAGATAAAACAGTATCTGGGTCAAGGGAAGCTGGGGATTGTGACTTCAGCACCTATACTTGGTTGGTAAATCCCTCTTTCTAGGGTCACAGCTACAACACATACACGTTTATGCTTAGGCCTCAGATATGTCCCTGAATCACTGTGAACTGAACCATGTTTTAAATGTTGTGGGGGCTGTTGCTACTGAAAAGAACCCTGCTGTGAAAGCTAGTACAAAGCAAAGAATCTATTTTTATAAATTTAGATTTGGAGATTTAAAAAAAATGCAAGTATGATACATAAAATTCAGTATTTTTGCAGTCACAAGAGACAAAATAATAAGTATCTTCCTGTAGAAGGAAGAAAATTAACATTTAATTCAGTACCTTCTGTGGACCCTGGGTAGATGCTGGGCTCTTCCACAGACATTACTTGATTTAGTCCTTACAGTGCCCTTCTGGGGGCGGGGAGAGCAGGGTGGCATGGATTGTCTCTAACAAACGAGAGGACCCAGGCTCAGGTCAGGCAGAATGCTTCGCAGGAGGTACTTTCAGCTTGCTGCCTCCAAAGCCCATGTTTTCTCCACTGTGCCAAATGAACTTAAAAACAAGGCGTTTATAATCTGGTGGAACCCCTGGAGGATGGCTTGAGCTGCTCTGCCCTACAGATCTGCAGCTCTCATCGGCATCTGTTCTATGCCTCACCGTGGGCAGCTCTGCTGAGGAAAATCGCTGAAGTGTGTACTGATGCTACCATCCATCCGTGGTTCACTCACTCAGGAGCCTTTGGCTTGTCAATTCTTTCCCTTGCCTTTCTGGCCCTTGACCTCAGTGGCTAATCCATTCTTTAAAAAAATCCAGCCAGTCTCTGCCTCCTGCTTCAGCAGAAAACTCACCCAACATGTACCCTCCCAGAATGTCATCAGTGTAGGGACGCATCCCCTCCAGGCTCATGGTGGGATCGTCCTTCCTGCTTTCTTGGGACTTGTTCACATCACTTATCACTTCTGCACCTTCAGCTGTCCCGTAAGTTCCCTTCCTTCAGCAGATCAAGCTCTCGTTTCATCAGATGAAAATCTCCCATGACCTTAAACTTCCTCCACTTATCCTCAACCTTTCCATCACATCTCAGCCAAAGATCTCAAAACCACAAGCTGCATGCACCCCGTCTTCCTTTCTTCCTCTCATTCTCTCCCTCATAGCGTACTTGCTTTCTCTGTGGCCTCCGAAATTTCTCCCCTTAGGGAAGGCCTCTTAATTACCAAGTTTTGCATTGATTTTCATTGTATCTGAACTATGTGTAAAATTTGGCACTGTAAGACTATGACTTGCCTGGTTTTTCCCTCTCTGAGCGTTTCTCTTCCCCTACTTTCTTCTGGTCATCCCTAAATAGTGCTCATCCTGCTCTCTCCCCAGCTTCCGTCTTCCATCCCAGCTGTTGACTACAGCCTCCGGGCTGAAGACTCTCAACTTGGTATGACTAGCCAAGGCCTCTACTGAGTGCCAGATGGGAAACTGATTTGCTCACTAGGCAGCCCCTTGTGGAGGTCCCATTGGTACCTCAGTTTCCTCTCTCCTGACTAAAGTGACTCCTTTAGTCTCTGTCACGATTAATAGCACACTATCCAATTTATCGCATCTGAAATCTTGGATTCATTCAAGTAACCCTCTCATTCTTTTTTTTTTTTTGAGACAGAGTCTCACTCTGTTGCTCAGGCTGGAGTGCAGTGGCACAATCTCAGCTCACTGCAACCTGTACCTCCCAAGTTCAAGTGACTCTCTTGCCTCAGCCTCCTGTGTAGCTGGGATTACAGGTGCCCACCACCATGCCCAGCAAAATTTTTTTTTTTAGACAGTCTCACTGTATCGCCAGGCTGGCATGCAGTGGTGCAATCCCCGCTCACTGCAACTTCCATTTTCCAGTTTCAAGCAATTCTCTTGCCTCAGCCTCTGTAGTAGCTGGGACTATAGGCACACACCACCACGCCCTGCTAATTTTTTGTATTTTTGGTAGAGACAGGGTTTCACCCTGTTGGCCAGGATGGTCTTGATCTCTTGACCTTGTGATCTGCCTGCCTCAGCCTCCGAAAGTGCTGGGATTACAGCATGAGCCACGGTGCCCGGCCAAATTTTTGTATTTTTAGTAGAGATGGGGTTTCACCATGTTGGGCAGGCTGGTCTCAAACTCCTGACCTCAGGTGATCCACCTACCTCGGCTTCCCAAAGTGCTGGGATTACAGGCTCAGCCTGGCCAAGAGGCCTCTCATTCTCATGCCCTACATCCAGGTGATCACCAAGGCCTATCACTTAGGCCGGATGAATACTTTTGATTCCTGGTGAGGCCTCCATTCCTACTGTCTTCACTTGTCATTGGGCTCTTAAGGTCTTCCGGTCTCTAGTTTGATCTAAGCCACACCTTCCAAAGAACGATATTTCTTTAGTACAAAATTACCAATGTATTTTACCAGTGCTTAAAACTCTTTACTGGCTTCCTGTCTCCTACAGATGAAAATCTGTTTCTAGCCACCTCTTTAGCCCCAGCTACTCAAGAGGCTAAGGCCAGGAGTTCAAAGCTGCAGTGAGCTATGATCGCACCACTGCACTCCGACCTGGGCGACAAGCAAGACCCCATCTTCTTGTTTTTCTTTCTTTTTGAGATCCCATCTTTAAAAGACAAAAATTTATGTAGGAGGTTGTTTTATGCCTTTGCATAGTTTACTTGCATAACTTTCAGCATAACATTCCTTTTCTCTCCCTTGTCTTGTTTGGCGTATCACTCTTCATCCTTCGAAACCTAGCTCTGGGGTGGAGTGATGGCTTATGCCTGTAGTCCCGTCATTTTGGGGTGCAGGGGCAACAGGAGAGCTTGAGACCAGCCTGGGCAACACAGTGAGACCCCGTCTCTACAAAAAGTAAAGAAAACTGGCCGGTGTGGTGGCACGCGTCTGTGGTTCCCGGTACCCCGGAAGCTGCAGCTGAGGCAGTAGGATTCTTTGAGCCCAGGAGGTCGAGGCTGCAGTAAGCCGGGACTGTGCCACTGCACTCCAGCCTGGCCAACAGAGAAAGACCTGTCTCAAAAAAAACAGAAATGCCCAGTTCAGGTGTCTCCTCAGGGAAAACTTTCTAAACATCCGGAGGTGGTCGGCTTCCCTCTGTTCTCACCTTGGGCTTTGTGCACATGTCTGCATCCCTCCTAGCACCTGTGAGCTTCTCTCAGGGAAAGCTCATTGATCTGCATCCCCAGGACCTGCTTGGGAAGAATCTATCCATCTAAACTCGCTTTAATTTGATAAATGAATCAGTTAAGAATAGGAAAGCTGCCTATGGGCACTGCCCAATTCAACATGACCAACAAAAGGAGACAGAACTGGGGTTAGAGAGGTGAGGGGAGACAGAGGCTGGCAGGGAGGGGAACCTGTCAGTGCAGACTCCAGGAAGAATCTGTGTGCAGAAAGCTACTGAGCGGCCTGACCCAAATGAGGGCTAGGGACAATCTTCCACCCAGGTGAGAGGGGAGAATAGGGAGGCCCTAAAACCTCTCTGCAGCCTCGGGCTGCTCCTGAAGCCCCCGGAGCTGCAGGGTTTTGGTGTGGATGGGACTTGCTGACAGGGATGCGGTGGGAAGAGCCCCTCGGCACCCTTTCTCCCCGTTTCCCCCTGCCCAAGGGTCTAACACAGGACCATGAAAGTAAGATGAAGGCGGCTTGTTATTCTCTACTAGATACCAGGGGGCAAGCAGGAAACAAGAGGCTCAAGAGGGGCAGCTCCAGCGTGGAGGAGATGCGAACTCCTCTGCACTCTGCCAGGGCCCCAAGCCCGTCAGAGGCTGCCCTGGGCGGCTCAGACCCCACCGCGGCCCCCCTCACTCCTAGCGGAAGGGAGGCCTGTGAGACTCACAGCAGGGCCCTGGAACCGGGCAGGGCGAGCCTTGGGAGCCGCCTGGAGGTAACCGGGCGAGGGCCGCGAGGGAAGGGCGCGGGAGGAGGTGCGGGCCACCGGCCACTGCCGAGGAGTTCTCACCCTGGACCCCCTTTGTTCTCGCAGGACGCGCTGTGGCTGCAGGAGGTCGCCAACCTGTCAGAATGGTTGAGTCCCAGCCCTGGGCCTTGAGCCCGGTCTCCCTCTGCGAGTGTCCGCCGGCCGGGGGCCTGCGGGCAGCCGCTCTCCCGTGGTTTAATAAAATTGCGCCGCGCTCATCCCGTCCGCTTCCGCTTCTGCTTCCGCGTCGGGCTGGGGCGGGGCCTGGAGCCGCGCCGCGGCCTGACGTCACCCACGCCCCCACGTGGCTACGTCACTGGTGCGCGCCGCGGGTCGGGGCGCGATGGCGGCGCTGGGCGGGGATGGGCTGCGCCTGCTGTCGGTGTCGCGGCCGCAGCGGCCACCCGAGTCGGCGGCACTGGGCGGTCCGGGCCCAGGGCTGTGCTGCTGGGTGTCCGTGTTTTCCTGCCTCAGCCTCGCCTGCTCCTACGTGGGCAGCCTCTACGTCTGGAAGAGCGAACTCCCCAGGTGCGGGGGCTGCGCGCGGCCGGAACCCGCGCCCCCGCGAGGCGGGACTGTGGGCGGAGCTTGGGCGAGCCGGGGGCGGGGCCGCGCTGATGGGCGCCAGCTGAACTTACTGCCCCCTCCGTAGGGACCACCCCGCCGTCATCAAGCGGCGCTTCACCAGCGTCCTGGTAGTGTCCAGTCTCTCGCCCTTGTGCGTGCTGCTCTGGAGGGAACTCACAGGCATCCAGGTGCGAAGGAGGCGTGGTAAAGGGCAACGGGGGAAAGAGCTCAGGGATCTTTTGGGGAGGAAGCAAGACTGATGCCCCCTTTCCTGTGGCTCAGCCAGGCACATCCCTGCTCACCCTGATGGGCTTCAGGCTGGAGGGCATTTTCCCAGCAGCGTTACTGCCCCTGCTTCTCACCATGGTGAGTGCTCGTGCTGTATCTTTCCTCCTCTGGTCTTTATCAGCCTGATGCACGGTGGCCTCTTGATTGTGTTCGGATTTTGGCTGATGGGAGACAGGAGTTTTGAGATGGCCCCAGGGTCCTCCGGTATGCATGGGCTGGAAATCCTGGTTGCGAGGATTTCAAGCTTGGAGCCTCACAGGGGCAAGGGCAAAGTTCTGGGCAAAAGCGGTGGGTTGTGGTGAACGTGTTTTCTTGGATGTCTCCCATTTTTCTGCCCTCAGATTCTTTTCCTGGGCCCCCTGATGCAGCTCTCTATGGATTGCCCTTGTGACCTGGCAGATGGGCTGAAGGTTGTCTTGGGTGAGTCTTAAAGGCTGAAGGGAAAAGTAGGCACAGGCAGCCCAGGACAATGCGGGAGGTAGTCAGCTGGCTCGTGGTATGATCTGGACGTGTGGAATGTCATCTCTCAGCAGCAGAATGGAAACATAGAGCTAGGTGGCCTTTAAGGATGGATCCCCAGTGTCCAAAAAGTCCCCTGGGGACCTCCAGCAGAATTTGGTGTGGGCCAGAGAGCATTGTCCCCTGCCTCGCCAACCAGAGCTGGTCTTGGTTAAATTTTGGCATCTCCAGAGTTTGCTTCCAGGATGCCCTGCCTCAGCTAATGCCTTCTCTTCAGGGCATCTCAAGACATCGGGTTTATGTTGTGTCCACACCCCCGTCCTCAGGAGTATTGATGCCTGAGTTTGGCCAGGGTAAAGTCGTGGGAGAGGAGCCCTTAGGGCCTCTGGGGTCTCATTGTCCCATAGGACAGCTTGTCCTGAAGTCAGCTTGTCCTGACTTCCCTCTGCAGCCCCCCGCTCCTGGGCCCGCTGCCTCACAGACATGCGTTGGCTGCGGAACCAAGTGATCGCCCCCCTGACAGAGGAGCTGGTGTTCCGGGCCTGTATGTTGCCCATGTTAGCGCCGTGCATGGGCCTGGGCCCTGCTGTGTTCACCTGTCCGCTCTTTTTTGGAGTTGGTGAGTCTGGCTAGCTTGGTCCTGGTGTATTCTCAGGATGAGAGCTGAGAACGGGGCTTGAGGTGAGGGTCAGGCATAGGTGGGAGGCTGGGAGGAATGACTGTGATGTGATTGTCACCTTTTTCCCAGCCCATTTTCACCACATTATTGAGCAGCTGCGTTTCCGCCAGAGCAGTGTGGGGAACATCTTCTTGTCTGCTGGTGAGTCCTGGCGAGCTGGCCTGGGTTAGGGTGTGTGATGATGTCCCTAATGGCCACTTGGAGGAGGAATTGGGAATAGAGGGCTATAGTATTGGAGGGGCCACTGACCATGGGAGTTGGGGTGCAGGACAGTTGTAGGTGGTGGGGCAGGCAGCCACTGCCCCAGGGGAGGGGACGGTCGGTCTTTGGCTGATGGGTGTGTAGTGCTGGGGCAGGAAGGATGTGCAGGTGTGGTCACTCGCGGCCTCCCCGTCTCCAGCGTTCCAGTTCTCCTACACAGCTGTCTTCGGTGCCTACACTGCTTTCCTCTTCATCCGTACAGGTTGGTTCTCAGTCTCTCACGGGTCCCTGGGGGCCCACAGGAGCGGGTGGGAGAATGGGGAATACTGTTTGTTCTAGGAACAAGTTCTTCTACTGCAGTCCTTGAGACAGGCTGAACAGGGCCCTCAGCTTGGTGAGGTCTGAGAGGTGGAAAGGAACAGAGGCCATCGTGTGGGTGGATGGCTAGGGTGGTGGGATCTTCATCTCCTGTTTCAGGGGATGAGGGTCACTAGCCCTGGAAGGGCCAGAGGTGATGGTACGGCTGCTCCCTGAGCTGCTGTTTCCTCTCCCCAGGACACCTGATTGGGCCGGTTCTCTGCCACTCCTTCTGCAATTACATGGGTTTCCCGGCTGTTTGCGCGGCCTTGGAGCACCCGCAGAGGCGGCCCCTGCTGGCAGGCTATGCCCTGGGTGTGGGACTCTTCCTCCTTCTGCTCCAGCCCCTCACGGACCCCAGGCTCTACGGCAGCCTTCCCCTTTGTGTGCTTTTGGAGCGGGCAGGGGACTCAGAGGCTCCCCTGTGCTCCTGACCTCCGCTCTGGGATACACTATGAACTCTCACTGGCTCCCCAGCCCTCCCCACCAAAGGGTACTGCAGGGGAGGGACTGGCTGGGGTCCCCGAGATCTCAGGAATTTTTGTAGGGGATTGAAGCCAGAGCTAGTTGAATCCCAGGGACAAGAGAAAGGAGCAGATATCCAAAGGGTGCAACCCCTCTTGAAAGGGGTGTTTACGAGCAGCTGTGAGTGAGGGGACAAGGGGCAGGTCCCAGGAGCCACACACTCCCTTCCTCACTTTGGACTGCTGCTTCTCTTAGCTCCTCTGCCTCTGAAAAGCTGCTCGGGGGTTTTTTATTTATAAAACCTCTCCCCACCCCCACCCCCCAACTTCCTGGGTTTTCTCATCTTTTTGCATCAGGACTTTGTATTGGGATATTAAAGAGATTTAACTTGGGTAACATGGCCTTGGACCTTTGGATTTGGTCTGTTTGGGAACTCGTGAGAGCTCCAGGCAGCTCTTGGGAGTGTGCCCACCACCTATCCTAGCTACCTTGAATGCTGACCTTAGGGTAGTGCATCCTGGCAGGTGGTTCCCTGGAGTTGGGGATAGGCTGGGAGCTCTGGCTGCTGGGGCCCTGTGGCTTCCTTCTTCCTGAACCATGCCCTAAAGTCCTAGTGTGGGTGGGTCTGAGACTGCAAGTGCCAGGTGTGAGCCCGGCTCATCCTGGGACCTGTGCCTTGGCTACCAGGCTCAGGGAGGGGGAGCCTCTGGCCTGTCTCCTCTGGGGTGAGGAGGATTGGTCTGAAGCCTCTTCCAGGACCTCCACAGTCTGCCAGCCTTGTTTTTCCACAAGAGAAAACAGGTTCAGAATGCGAGAGGAACCTACCTCTGAATCACCAGTAGAGGCTTTTTTGGTTCTTTCTACCTTGGGCCTCTGCCCCACAGGAACCCAGAACAAAGGCTGCCACCCTGAGGATGGCAGGGACTTTGCCAAGCAATACGGTGACTCAAGGGTCCTTCTCAGAACATGCTAGTATTCTGCCTGCTCTCCACTGTTTTTGGAAGGGTTCTCTGTCTGTACCTTTACAACTAGAAGAGTATTAGCCCTGGGTCACCTGAGGTCAGAAGTTCAAGACCAACCAGGCTGGCCATCATGGTGAAACCCCATTTTAAAAAAACAAAAAAAATTATTAAAAAAAAGAAAACACTTAGCCAGGCATGGTGGCAGGTGCCTGTCATCCTAGCTACTTGGGATGCTGAGGCAGGAGAACTGCTTGAACCCATGAGGCAGAGGTTGCAGTGAGCCGAGATTGCTCCACTGCACTACAGCCTGGGCAACAGGAGACTGTCTTGGCGGGGTGGGGGTGGAGGGGGTATTCGCCCTTTAAGTCCCATTGCAGGCTTAATTTAAGGAGGTTGTCCCAAGCCCCCTTCCCTGAGGCTCAGGGAAAGAAAAGGGATGTGCAGTCACTCCCTTATGCCTGCAGGCTGGCTGTGACTCACCAACCATTCACCCGGATGGAAGGGCAGCAGCATCGTAGTCACACACCTGCCTCCTGGGGTACAATTGGGACCTCATGGTCCAGAAAGGAAGAGGCCCAAGGCCACTGTGACTTGCCTACCCCAGAGGTTAGGACTGGCACTGAGAGCACTGGGCAGAGGGCTGCAGGGTGCTGGGGATGTACTGAGCTTAGGTACAGGAGCACTGGGCTCTGCCCACCTCTTCCTTTCCAAAGGCTGGTGTTTCCTGCACTATCCTCCCCACCCCCTCCTCAGGAACTGCCCAGCCTCCTCTACCCACCCCACCCCCCACCATTCTCCTCCTACCTGCGGGCAGGAGGGCAGTGGTGCAGGCAGGGTTACTGTCCCCGCTGCAGGAAAGGGAACTGGAGGGCTGGTCATGGGGAGCAACAGGGTTAAACCTGAGACCCTGGACTCCTCACCTCTCGCTCACATACAGAGCACACAGGAGAGACTGCTGGATCACCATTCCCAAGGGTCTCACCCACTGCTCAGAAGGTGGTACCTGCTTGCATTTACCTGATAACTGACGTGGGAGGCTGGCCTTGGGTTTTAGAAAATAAAACAGCGGGCTGGGAGGCAAGTCTGCCAAGGGCCTGGATTTCATCCCTCTCTTACTAGTTGTGGAGTCCTGGACAAATTATGTAATCTTCCTGTAACTTGATTTCTGTGTCCATAAGAGGATGAAGGTTAATTCCCTGAGTTAATAGGTGTTAAGTACTTAGAACAGGCCCCACCCCTCAAGCAAGCTCAGTACTAGTCCTGTTTGGGGAGGATACGCAGTAGGCACCCAATAGTGACTTAAAACAGGGCCACGATGTCATCAATACCCTCTGAGGAGGAAGACACAACTGACCTGCCTACCCACAGGGAGCTTGAAAGGCAGCTCCCACTGCTGAGTGGGTACTGGGTACATGCTAGGGCTGTACTAAGCATGGGGGTGCTGCACTGGATCCAGCATGGAGGGCAGGGAAAGCCAGTTTTATTGAGCAAACTTCCCAGGACCTGGGACATCTTAGAGCTCCCCTTCCCTCAGGACATAGGACCCCCTAAACCTCCCCTGGGTCCTAGGACCATCTGACCCACCATGTATAGTCTCCAGTGAGAAGGGGACCCTTATTTGGCAAGAGATGATGAACATGTGAGCAGCTGTTGGCCAGGGGAAAGGACAGATGGCTGAGAGGAATGAGCCGCTGCAGGCGGTGTCTGCTGTCCAGCTGTGGACAGGACCTCCATGGCCCAGCCTTCCTGGCCTCAGGCACTGGCTGGCCTGGGCCTGCCGTGGCAGCACAGCTTCTGTTGAAGGCTTGGGGACGGCCAGGGTGCTACCCTGGGGCAAGATCACTCGATCTCCAGGATGAGGTCGTCACCTTCCAGTGTCATGTCCTTGGTCACATGGACCTTGCGGACAGTGCCCTCCATGGGCGAGGTCACCACAGTCTCCATCTTCATGGCACTGAGCACACACAGGGGCTGGCCCTTGGCCACCTTGGCCCCTGCGGCCACTTTGATGTCTATCACCTTCCCAGGCATGGGCGCCCCAATCTGGCCCTTCACGTCCTTCAGGGCCTTGGGGTGGAAGTGCATCTCCTGCAGACACAGGGCAGAAGGGACATGAGATCCTAGGCCCAGACAAGCCCCACCACCCAGCTGGCCCTGGGGTAAACTATACCTTTATGGCCTGGGTGTCCTTGACCAGGATGGACCGCAGTTGCCCATTGAGCTCAAAAAAGACCTGCCTTTGGCCAGCCCGGTTCAGGTCGCTCACAGCAAGGGCTTTGATGTGCAGTGTCTTGCCCCGCTCCAGCTCCACCTGCAGGGAGGGTTTGCAGACTCGGGGCTGGAGGGCAAACTGGGAAAGCAGTCCACCAGCCCTGGCCCCAGGAAGTCCCCACACTGGGCCTTGGCTCCTTGTTCTTAAAGGCCTGACTCCCAGTCTCAAGGGTCCTTTCTGCTCCCACAGTTGCAAGGCTAGGTGACAGCCAAGCTAAACTCTGGAGCTCTGGGGCAGGGACCAGGGTGGAGTGTGGACAAGCACCAGAGCCACTGACCTCGAACTCCTCTGCGATCTTGGGTCCCTGCAGGAAGAGGCGGGTATTGAGGCTATCCAGGGGGCCAAAAGTGGCAGTGAAATCCTTGAAGTGGGTGAAGACATCGGGGTACATAGCTGCCGAGAGCACATCTTCCGGGGTCACCTCCTCCCCATGCCGCTCCACCAGCTCCTTCTCCAATGCCTGCAGATCCAGGGGAGGGAGGGAGGCTCCGGGCCGCCCCTCTACCCTCGGCAGGTCCTTCAGTACCTGGGGAACAAAGAGGAGGATCAGGCCCAATTCCTGCATCCAGCCCACACCCTCATGTCATGGTAAGACTTCCCTACCTTGGAGCGAAAGGGTTCAGGGAACCCCCCATGGGGGACACCGATGTAGCCCTGCAGGAACTCCACCACAGAGCGAGGGAAGGACAACTCTTCCGCTTGAGCTTCAGCCTCTGCTCGGCTCAATCCATTCTGCACCATAAACTGGGCCAGGTCCCCCACGATCTTGGAGGAGGGTGTCACCTGAGGAGAAGGCCCTGGAGGTTAGGGTACCAGGCACCTTGGGGAGGCTCAGCGACAGGTACATGCATGGCTGGGGCAGGCAGGAGCCTGGGGCGGGGATTACCTTGATGAGGTCACCCAGCATCTGGTTGGCCTCCACGTAGGCCTTCTTGACCTCCTTGAACTTGGAGCCGAGCCCCATGCTGTGGGCTTGGAAGTGCAGGTTGGTGTACTGGCCCCCTGGGATCTCATTCTCATACACGTCCGAGTTGCCAGACTTCATGGTGGCCGTGCAGTCAAAGGCCGCGTACAGTCCCCGAGCTCCCTCCCAGTACTCGCTGTAGTCAAACACGCGCTCCAGGGGCACCTCTGCAAGGAGGCCAGAGTCAGAGAAGGCCTTAGAAACGTGCCAACTCCAGGACCCAGAGCTAGCTCAGGTCCCATCTCTGACTCAGGTGATAGGTGGCGGCAAGGCCAGAGCAGCGCCATCTGGATTCTAGGCAGGCCCAATACTGGGACGTGGTGGTGGCTGCGGCTTTGAGAGGGGCGTGACCACGGGCTGCCATTCTTCCTACCTGTGTCTAGGGGAGTCCCTCTGGTACAGGCCACCAGGGCCCCCATGCTGGGCTGTGAAGTCATCCCAGACATGGAATCTGCTGCCACATCTACCACATCAGCTCCAGCCTGGGCACAAGCCAGCATGGCTGCCACGCCTGCCCCTGATGTGTCATGGGTGTGGATGTGCAGTGGGAGGTCAGGGAAGCGGTCCCGGAGAGAGCTGACCAGCATGGTGCAGGCCGCCGGCTTCAGCAGCCCAGCCATGTCCTAGGATAGAGAGAGAGAGATGGTAGAGGGGCAGGATGTGTGCCTGTGATGGGGGGACATGGCTGAGGCAGAGAGGGAGAGATGGGCAAGTGGCCCAGGTACCTTGATGCACAGGATGTGGGTGCCAGCCCGCACCAGCTCTTCAGCCAAGCCCATGTAGTACTGCAGTGAGTACTTGGTGCGGCTGGGGTCGGCCACGTCACCCGTGTATGAGATGGCAGCCTCCACCACGCCACCGGCACTTCCTGCCGCCTCCATGCCCAGCAGCATGTTGGGCAAGTAGTTGAGGGAGTCAAACACGCGGAAGACATCCATGCCATTCTCTTTGGCCACCTCACAGAATCTGAGGGTGAGAGAGCCCAGGGCTGAGCCCTACCCCACCTCCGTCCGAACAGTCTTCCCAGGCTCCTGCCTCACCCACTCTGCTGCCCCTGTGAAATGAGATCTGAGGGTCTGGCGTGGGCGGGGGGTGGCATCCACAGGCAGGAGGTGGGCAAACAAGTGTGGACCAGGCCTTGGAGGATCAGCTGGTGCTGTGGCAGGCTGTGGGAGAGGGCACAGAGCAAGGAGTCTCG